AAACCCTGTGGACGCTGTGGAAACAGAACAACTGCAAGAATTGCTTTTGCATGACAACTACTCAAGTGCATGATTTTGAACTGGGTCCCCCAGTGTGGACGCTGCTCGATACGTAAAAAACCCAGCCGATGTGAGATAACCCGACCACCCAGTAATGGTGTGGGAATTGTGCGCAGCACAGATGCGGAAAACATCCCTTGGCATGGGCCTAGCATGCACTTGACATCGAGGCACGCAGCGGAGACACCAAATTGGCTGCCGGCGGAGCAGAGCTGCCTGGGTACCAGCAAGACAGTGACCTACCCAGAACCTACCATCCGTGCCAGCAGCATAATTTCTCTGCTGAAGAACGTCTAGCAGTCTAGCCTGGAATCAAGGACAGCTTGAGGCAACTCCGGAGCAGGCATTTCAGCCTGTCATCCCGCTGGCTGGCTGGGCTTGACTTTTGACGGAACATTAGTGCTGTAAGATGCTACAAGTACTCAAAAGTCGGCAAATAAGATTGCACCATGGGCCCGAACTCCAAGACTGGACGTTAGAAGTGTTCGGCTGTACATTTGAGAGCCCAACTCAGCTTCCGTGCTTCATCCACACTTGCAGCTTGAAGGTCAAGCCCAACACCTGCGAGCATTGGGAACAATCGTAAGACTTATCGTAAGACTTTTGCAACTGTGATGTGCCGAGCTTCAAGATGATCCTCACAAGAGAACAGGGCTGTTGCTCGCGGTGGCATGAAAAATCACCGAGGCAATACCGTAGAAGTTTCCCTCTCTAATTGACACTGCACTGCACATGGGAATATGCTTGCTCTGACGATTCTAAGGTACTTGCATTAGATCGCACACGGCCTCAAACAAATCTGACCCAAAGCTCGCAGCAAGTTCGTCCGTTTCACCCTCCCCTCCACGGCGCAGACACAATGCTCGAGCTACACTTGCTCATACCGCAAGCGGCTTCGCAAGAACGTTGCCACCGCGGACAGCGCATCATCGCGAATGTGTGCCGGCGCCATGGGGGTAAGATGTCGCAAGCTTGCACTGCGTTTTGTCCTCAGGTTCTGTGACAATGCTAGATTGGTAGACTTGGAGAGCAAACACCCAAGACTTTCGATCGTTGACGTTATGAAACTTGAAGCCGCAGCGGCTTACCTGATCAGGGGTTGGGTAGAAACTGGAGAGCGCTTGCAACGCAAGCTTATTGAGATATTTTGTTCGTCGAAGAAACAGAAGATTGACAAACGGAGCCTTATGCATTTCTTAGTCGGTAAGTCAAGCTCACAGCACTTGAACCCACCTGGGTCACTTCAACGTGTTCTGCACGTAGTCTACGCATGCCAAGTTGGGCACAGATCGCTTGAACAAATGAATAGCAAGGGTGATTCCACAACTGGAAATACGAAAGCGAGATCAACCATGATCAAACCATGCCGACCGCGCATCGTCTTGTGACGCTTCCATGCAAAAGACTACAAACTCTGCACGGCAATTCCTTCGTTTTGCGCGTTGAGGCTCGCACCACGGGCTCATAGAGCCATGCTAATCTTTAGCACGCGTGCTGGTCTGGGAACTGAACTCAGCTGCACCTGCGGTATGAAGCACTTCGCAACCATTCTTAACAAGGCTGAAAAGCAAGCATCAACCAAGCTGGGGATCGCGCCTGAATCCTCCACATCCTGTCCGAGTCAACTGCTGGTTGGCCAGGTGGACGCCTGTCTTGCAGCCCCAAGGAAATGCATCTAGGCAAAATCCTGCGAGGCGTTTGTAAATGTTTGCAACCTGCAGGCAAGACCAGCATGCACACAAGAGCTTGGTGTAGAGGCGGCTCCTGCCAGCCTGCATGTTCATGCGCTGCAGACGTCCCTTTTGCATCGCATGTTGGGCGCGATCTTGCAATCTAAGCCATGCTGTACAATGGAGGCCATGCTTGAAACTTTGAAACTTGAAACAGCGCGTTGCAGAAGATACTATTCTGGAGGGAGCTCGTGCAAAGAATACAACTCAGATGCCATCAGAAAAGGCAAATGAAAAGCCGCGCCTCTCTCACCTGGCATCTTCTATTCTGTGCCCTGCAGATGCTCAGTCTTTGTGGTCACCGGTCAGCTTTGGGTCGTCCAGGTTCCAGTACACAAAAAGAAGTGTTGACATGACTGCAAGGTGACTGACATCCGTGATGCTGTAGAATACTTGGCAAGCGTAGGAGCTGATAATTCCCCAGTTCCCAAGCAGAAAGACTGCCGTGTAGATGACAAACATCACTTCCTTGACGATGACGCTGACGCCTTTGAGTACAGGTTGCGATGTTGTCCTAATGTGCTCACGAACGTAGACAACTTCATCCGCAACAACAACAGTGTAGGCAGCACAGCCAAGCATGTTCAGGAACCAACCCATCCATGGATCATACAAGACGCAGCCCAAGCCGCAAGCCCAACAGTATGTTGCTGAGGCGGCCAGTTGCGGAAAAATCCGAACAAGGACTTCAAGCGCTCGATAGTTGTCCATGAGCGGGTACAAGTTCATGAAAAGCATGGTTGGGATCGCATATGTCCAACCGATCCAACGAGTCAGGTAGATGGGCCTCTCGTCATTGCACCGTTGATTCTGAAATGCCAAGCCGTAGCCGCGCGACAGCAACGTGTAATAGCAAATCTTGACAACAAACTCGAACATTGACACTCTGGAAATCACAAGTGCTCTGTGCCTGGGTCGGGCGGAACACATCTCGGCTACCTGATATCCGGCAACCAAAGTAATGAGGGCCATAGGAATGATCAAGGCATTCCTGGTCACACTGAAGACTTGGATCTCATCCTCAATGATGCCCTTGTAGAGCGGTCCAGCTTGCCAAGAAAAATGGGCCATCAGGCAAGAAACAATTTGCACGTATGTGAAGACCATGCATGTCTTTGCTGTCCACGGCCATGAGTTCCAAACGGCGGAAATCGTCTCTAAAATGTGAGGCACTCCGGCTGCCTGTGCTTCGGCCATTCTGCTCAGAGCCTCCTATGAATCGCCCTTGGACAAACGGCTTCAGATAAGTTGCTAACAGTACAGCACGCATCCAGAGTTCTGAAGAGACACCATTGGCCAAAGTCGGCTGGCTGCGAGCGCAAACTCCCGCCTGGGGGACCGAAGGGCAAAGTGTGGGCCTTTGCGCCCGGCAGTGCCTTCACACTAGCAAGGAGCTACATGGATGTTGAGACAATCTCAGCCTGAGATGCAACAAAAGGCACGTGGACTTTTCCTGCAGCTGAGCGCGAGCAATCGTCAAAATCGTTTGAAATTCTGGCCCTGTCTGTACAGGTCCAGCACCATGATGACCTGGCGTTGAAATCATGTGGCAACGCTTTGCCTCGTGTTCGCCAGTTCCACTCGGTGAAGGACCCCATTGATAAGAATGCTGCTGCGGCATCCGATCACATGCTCGCAAATTGACTGCACGAATCTAAGAAACGCATCTGTTGTTTCTCAGCAATGGTAGTTTTGACGTGCAGAGCTCCCAAGTAAGGTAGGCTTGAAAATGCCAACTTACGAATGCTGAAGCCAGGCGCTACCTGCATGTGCCATATTTGATTACACAAGAAATGTTACACGGGCAAGCCAAGCCAGATCAGCATTTCAGTCGGTGTTTGGGCCATACCCATCCAATGTATGGAATATGGATCTACGCAAGTCCTGGGAGGGAACAAGGCTGCATGAACCAGCAGTCTGCTGAAATCAGTCGCTTACTATTGAAACTGGCACTTGAAACAGACGCCAAACATCTGGCGAATTTGGCAAATTCCTAGCTGCTGCCCATCACAGGCTCGGCAATGCCATGCAAAGATCTGGCTGATCCTCAAAGAGATTTCCGCGCTGCAATGAAGGTGCTCGTGATGGCCAAAGCCATGGAGGCTGCGAGAGCAGGATTCTGCCAAGGCCCTATAGTTTTGGATTCCTTGATGTAGACTGTGGGCATTTCTTGGCGGACGTCTTCAGTGACGTTCCTGCTGAACTCTGGCTCAGGCTCGAGTGGCCCACTGTGAACCTTCTTGGGAGCTGGCGGTGCGTGCACAGGTGACTTGACCGACTGAGCTCCAGCTTTCTGCATAATACCTGAGTCATGTGCTGTTTTTTCTCCAACATGAATGTTGTGACCGCAACTGTAGCTCTGAGCCACCTTACAAACAAAGCCACATAGTTGCTCAGTTGAAGGAGGGACAAAGGCCGGCACCTTTGAAGCTTGTTGGTCGACGCAACCGATTGTCTGCAGGGCCGCAAAGGTGCAGCGAACCATCAGGATCAAACCTCAGGTAAGCGGGTCCAACCCCCGCACAAAGCTCCAAGTAGCATCCCTGATCTGTAAGCCTTGAAGAAGCTGGTATAGTACGTCTTACAGACTCTGAAGGGTTTCAGCCTGTTGAACGCTTAACCACGGTGGCTAAAGTAGAACAACCATGAAGCAAAGGCGCTTGAAAATGTAGGGGATAGGAGGTGGTGCCAAATTAGCACCCGAAGGCAAGACCTCGATGTCCAGCTGCTTGGGTTCCAGAGAGCAATTCATGCGAAAGGTCGCTTCCAAGGTCTGCTCCATAATTGAAATCTTCGCGTGGATGCAATCATTGCTAAATTCTATGCGCTGCAGGTATCCACCTAGCTCCTCGCTAGTAGTGCCCTCCCACAATCCACAGACGCGGGCATCAAAGGCACCCAGTTGGCCTAGCTCGTCAAAGCCCTGCACGAAGGCCCCGAGATGGGACAATGTCCGGTCACTCTGGGAGTGGCCACACGCACTGCCTTCCTCTGTCTCCTCTGCTGAGCCAAGGAGACAAGAAGCTCCCAGTTTGTTGAGGTCCGCCAAGTTCGCGACAATTCCACTTTGTCCATCCGTTATGGTTGTGGATCCAGCAGATGTCTGCCGTTCGGCTGCTTTGAAGCTTTCGAAACCTCCAAGCTCAATTTCCTTAGCGGCTTCAGCATCCTTGTCCGGCTCCTCTACGAACTGAATCGCAGCCACAAGGTGGCGCTCCTTGCCATAACTCACCGCAGAGCGTGGCACCACAGATAGGTGAAGGGTGGCATGTAGTCGTGTTTTCGATGCTGCTGAGCCCGTCATCTTGCTGTGCAAAACCTGCGCACATTCCACGAAAGAGCAACTGCCGCGGAACCGAACTTGAACCAGCGAACCGAACCGTACGGGAACCGAACCCGGCGAACCCAAGAATAAAACCGAACCGTCCGAACCGAACCGGTATGAAAACCGAACCGATAACGGTTCTATTTCCAACCACATCTGTCAAAAGGCACTCTGGGAAGTATTGTGAGGAGGATTGAGGGCTGTTGGCTGGCTGGGTCTTCCGGGCCGGTGTAGGTCTGAGTGACCTGTGCATTTTCACAAGTGTTTAACAGCACGGTGCTGGTTTGCAGCTTGGCTTGGCAAAAAAGCCCGTGCATTTCCCAGACCTCCATAATCGCAAGGTGCTGCTTTGCAATTTGCAGGGCCTTGGAACTGTCTTCACTCAATTCCCATTACCATTACCGGCGTTTTGCCCGTGAAGTTCCGCTCTTCGTTTGTTCAAAAATGAGAGGAAATTTCAGCTGAGGGTTGGGGGCCGCCAAAATGATTTTTGCAAGGCCTGAAAAAACATTTGGACTTTGTGCTTTGGGGTTGGAGGTCTTCCCACGCCATCTACGGTTGCAGGCCAGGAAGCTTCCCAAATGACTTTATGACATTGTGAAGTTTGGTCTTGGGAACCTCCAAAATGATTATGCAAGGCCTGGAAAACTCATTTGGACTGTTGCGTTTTGGGGTTGGAGCACTTCCCACGCAATCTACAGTTGCGGCTCAGGTAGCTTCCCAAATTACTTTATGAGGTTTGGGGTCTCCAAAAATGATTTTTGCAAGGCCTGGAAAATCATTTGCACTTTGTGCTTTGGGGTTGGAGGTCTTCCCACGCCATCTACGGTTGCAGGCCAAGAAGCTTCCCAAATGTCTTTATGAGGTTTGGGGTTGGGGGCCTCCAAAATGATTTTTGCAAGGCCTGAAGAAAACATGCGGAATTTGTGCTTTGGCGCTGGAGGGCTTCCCACGCCATCTGCGGTTAGGGATTGGGTAGCTTCCCAGATGACTCTATGAGGCTTGGGGTTGGGGCGGCCTCCCAAATGATTTTTGCAAGGCCTGGAAAAATCATTTGGACTTTATATTTGGGGGTCCCTCAAGTTCAGGGCCTTGGGGGAATGGATCAAGGACCTGGCATAATGCATTTTGGGAGGCTGGACAAACGCATTTGGCTTCCCTCAATGCGCGGGGCTTGGGGGATGGATCAAAAACCTGGCACAATACATTTTGGGAAGCTGGAAAAACGCATTGGGCTCCGGAAGACTTCCCACTCCATCTGCGGTTGGGGGTCGTGTAGCTTCCCAAATGACTTTATGAGGTTTGGGGTTGGGGGCCTCCAGAATCATGTTTGCAAGGCCTGGAAAAATCATTTGGACTTTCGGTTTTGGTGCGGTCGGGGATCAGGCAGCTTCCCAGATGACTTTATGAGGCTTGGGGTGGGGGGGCCTCCAAAATGATTTTTGCAATGCCTGAAAAAAACATTTGGACTCTATGTTTGGGGGTCCCTCAAGTTCAGGACCTTGGGGGGCTGCAGCGTCGCTGGAGCCCGCTTGTCCAAAGCGGAAAGGCTGCCACTGCTTGGCGCGAATTGGGAAACCAGTTCATTTACTATAAAAACCGAACCGGCGGAACCGGCTAAAGGTTCCAGTTCCTAGAAACCGAACCGAACTGGGGTTCGAAACACAAGGCCCAGCCTGTGCAATTGGAGGCATGACCCCCGCACCACAGCTCCACAGCCCAGAGGTTGTCAACGTTGCCTCACTGAAGGCCTGTGGACAATCTGCCTGACGCACGACATTGCGAAGGTACGAGGAGAACTCGGCCTTGTCGCTCGGCTCGGCCAAGAGGTCTCGCAAATTGGCACCAGCCACGCGGCAATCAGGGCCTAGCATCTTCTCCAGCTTCAGCATGTCTCCGGAGTAAGTGCTCGGCAGCTTGCAGCGCCCTGCAGAGTCCAGCACGCAGGGCAACAGAATATCAAAGCTACCTTGGATTCTGCGGCGGCGGTACTTGTTTTTGAGGCGGAGGTTCACAGCTGACTCAAGGAACACCTCACTAATGAATACTAATTAATCGGAGCTGCCTCGGAGTATGCTCACCATGCCAACATTGGAAACAGACACCTTGCGCAGCACATCCGTAAGTGTCTTGTGGTACTCATCTGCACGTATGAAGACGAAAGTGGCACAGTAGGCAATCTTGGCCCCAAAGGTTGTAAGATAGTAACCCAACTGCTCCGTCTCTGCACCAATTGCACCTACACTCGAAGCCATGTAAACGGCCCCGAAGAGTTGGAAATGGATGATCAAGCCGTTGGAAAGCCATGGCCGAATGCGACGACTTGGAAGGTCCCAAGGTGCTGTGCGCTCAAAGTCACGGCTCCATGCGATCATGTCCATGCTAGCCCAACCGTACATGTTAAACGCAATGATGATAAGAATCCACTTCAAAAGCCCGTACTCTGTGACTGTGGCCATCCAGGAGAGGATGATGTAGACATTTGTGACCATCAAAGGACGAGAGATTTCTTTCAGAGGTCGACCCAAGCTGCAGTGGCCTGACAGAAGGAAAAGAATTGGAACATTTATGCACCATTCGATGTACCGCAACGTGTAGACGGGTCTGCCCAAGACTGTGAGTCCATCGCCGCTGGAGTGGACATGAGCAAGGGTGACCTCTGGGATCGAGAAGAATCGCTCCACCACTGCCAGCCACCCAAACATCAGCGCCAGCAAAAAGCTGGGCAGGCAGCGGCTCTGCAAATGTGGGATGAGCTCTTGGGTCTGTCGTGCACCCATGTAGGTCGCGATCAAACCACAGACTTCATGCCCGGACATAGCCACGAGGGCCGTGGAGGATACGACATGGAGGTGTGTTGGGTACACCTTCATCTGCTTGTCGCATACCTTTTATTGCACCCTTGCAAGAGAAGGTTTCTTACCTGCTTCATAGTAAAGAAAAAGACACATACTCCAAGGATTGGTGAATGAATGGCCAGATACATCCAGATCTTGGCAGCTCTGTGGGCCCACAAGTGCCCAACAAATCACCCACGTTGCCACTGTCACCGCAATCCACACAGGAAGCTGCCCAAGCAACGAAGCCATGAACCTAGCGGGTGACCTGGAACAACAGGGTACCTTGCGGATATCTCACAGCAAAGCCGAAGAAATGGCTCCAAGAGAATTCATGTGTGAGCTCGACCTGGCGACTTGGCAAGGCATATCGAGCCGGCACCAGCTTGCATCATTGCACCAGAAATTCCAGCACAGGCAACTTCAAGCAACTTGGACAAAGTAAAACGTGAGGATTTAACAGCAGGCACGGCCATCAATCACAGGCCTGCAGCCAGCCGCCCAGCTGTTTGTGTGCAAACCATTTGGAGGCAGCGGAACACCCACACAAAGAACTTTGGTCTAGACCCAGCTGCGGCAGAGAGTTGTTCCAGTTGGGGCTTTCATCAACCATTACATAACTTGCCGCCTATCATTACTGCACGTCATGGGCATGGCTCTCAGACTTCTGAAGCGGCGCGTGCTGCAAGCACTCAGTCGAAAATCCATTCTGCGGCAAGCACGCATATCAAAGGAAACAGTGCTGGAAATGCGTCATGAAACAACTCTCATTTCCAGACTGCCAAAAAGGCCACGAGAATGCTTCAAGCCCCATTTTCTGCCCGTGGCCGTCTACGGGGTCAGCTTTGGCACCTCGTCCAGCTCGCGCCTGGGCTCAGCATTCCGCTGCACTGCGCTGCACTGCTGCAATATTCTGCTGTTCAAACCCACACACCTCCGAGCCTCACCAGCACACACCAAAAGCAGAAAAAGGAAAGAAGTTGCAGCCCGGCAACAGCAGTTTTGGTTGTGTCCGCGGGTCAGCATACTCACCCAGCGAGGGCAACGGGCCAAGGTAGGGGCCGTGGAGGACCTGACAACATACCCAAACCTCCTGCTTTGGCCAAAACAGCTGTGCAGCTTCACGCGAGGCCTTGGGCTGCCTTCGCAGCTCTGGATCCGCACCCAGACGTGGCCGTGCCTGGCTGTTGAGATTGCACCGGAAGTTAAAGATTCTGCATGAGATGTTGATGAAAATGAACATGAAACAGAGAAACGTGTTTCTGCACGGACGTGAGTGAGAGGTTCAGCTTCTACGTAAGAGCGGCAGCCAGGAGCGTAAGAGCATGCTGCCATGCCAGACACATGGAATGCCTGATCCGCGTTAACTACTTCCGGACGTTCTCAGCATTTGTACAAAGTTTACATTTACGCTTTGAACTTGAAGCCCTGCCTCCAACATGTCTGGATAGATAAGCTGACGCAAGGTCCTCCAGCAATAAGGCAAATCCCACGCACTCCGCATAAAGCTCTTCAAAACATGGCGTGCGCCTGCGTTTTGTCTTGGAATGTCACAGACTTGTGCTAAGCAGCAGGCTGCCTATGCCGCTTCACTCACTGGGCCATGAGGGCAGATTCGAGGCTAACATGTGAAATTCTGCATCAACTCCGCTGTTTTGCACGGGCCTGACGGTTCGCGTAATGCCAAGTCCAAACCGCGATGATGTTCCCACAACCGGCACCTGCAGTCAGCACGAAAAGACTTCTTGCCCCGGCTCCGAAGAATGCCTCACAAGTTGGGAGTTGGGACTTTGCACCTCCTCTCCATACCGCGCCCGCAGTCTATAGAACAGACTGTCAAGGTGGAACCTGAGCACACAACTGTTCCCGATTCAGGTTTGTGGCTTTGTAGGATTTCCGCTGCAGGCTCGCTTTTAATCTGCCAGCTACAAGTAGCAAGCACTAATCAGACATAGCAGATATAAATCCCACCATAGGAGCCTGACTCACCACAACACTCGCGCTTAGACTCCGAAGCTCATCATGTAAAGCCCAAACAAGCACGCAAGCCGGCTGAGCACTGTGCAGGGGGTCGCGGTGCAGAAGGTCACATTTCCTAAGCTGCTTCTTGAAGCGGCGAAGCGGCACAACTGCTTCGGCTTCAGACTCGACTATACATCTAGAGACAACTTCGCGATCTGTGAAGCCAAGCACCTGCTGCGATGCTATTGCAAGCATGGAGCTCCTACCGCAAGATGCCGCCACGTAGTGAAATTGGAGTCCAACCAAACTGGCCCGAATAGAAAGGAGTCAGTCCTTGTTTTATATTGGGGCACTTTTTTGTGTTAAGGCACGTCCCGATGACCATCCAGGGCTTCTCCTTGTTGAGGGGATCGAAGCGAATAGCTTCCTTCGCATACCACGGCAATTCTATTAAGAGGTCTAGCAAAGGGCTGTAAGGATTCTGCTTTGCCCTTTTGCTCTTTCATATCTTTCATGTGGCCTCGCATCTGGCCTCGCGCCTCCCGCAGCATCTCCACCTCGGATAGGACGTCCTGCTCCGAAGACTCTCCTCGCTTCATCGAGCTTTCACGGATTTTCCAGGAAGCTTTGCAGCATCACAGCGGAAGTCCCGGGTTCTTTGGCAGTGCTCTGGGTGAAAGAACTGTCAGACCATCACAGAATTGAGAAGGCAGGAAAGGTGCTGTAGTCCTCGGGCCACATTTACTACGAAAGCCAATGCCCTCGAGCGGTAGGTGTGCCTGCAGCCAAACTTTGGGTGAAAGGCTGCAAGTTCAAAGGCTAAAGCGATTGCCGCGCCATACCCAGACATGCTGAGGCTTGAATGGAAACCACTAGCCCAAGACCTCTTTGCACATGCAATGCATCAAAATATCACAGGAACGGCTGCAGCTGCACAGGAAAAGCAGACCCTTCGGATCATTCGCGCAGGTCCCCTAGTGATTCGAATCTCCAAACCTTCAGCATGCTGAGTCAATCAGAAGCAAAGCCTGAGAATCCGTCTCCCCATCAGTTTGTCCTCAGGATTTGGGGTCACAAGCCCGCAAGAGCATCGTCTTGCCAAAGGCTGCAGCACACCTTGAGTAATGGGTCCCTCAACATAGCAACCTCTCCATCGTAGCCCGCAGTCCTCGTGAGCACCTTCTGATAGACCTTCCCAAGGTGACATGAGGCTCAAGGTTTCTTTACCACTGTGATTTCATTGAACAGCACGGCTGTGCACAGCCAGAGTAGCAGGCGATACAAAAAAGTGCCTGGCAGGTCGCAGACGCGGATCTCCACGCGATCCCGGAACTGGATAACGCCCACATGGGGCCTCATCAGGATTGTAGAAGACAGACCACCAGGGAGGGAGTCCGTGTGCCTCGTGGTGCTGAACTCCTCAGGCCCAATTCGCGTATGTGCCCGGCTGAGCGCAGCCTTGGTAAAATGGAAATCACAATTCCGGTTGATTCGAGACTAAAATGGTCTGGAAACTTTCAAACTCCTCGCGCATTTCAACAGCTCTGAACTCTACAGCATCTGGCGAATGTCACGAAAGCGCTTAAAGCCGTCGTAAGCCACACGGCCAGCAGCGAAGTCTTGCCTGCATTGGGCATCCCCACCTGAATATGACAAAACTTGGCCCGATGCGGCAACTTCTAATTTGGGTTTAAGGATTCTTTCGATACAGGGCATACGTGAGGCTCGTTCTCATGAACTGACTGGATCATTCCTGTCGGATCGCAGAAGGTATATGGGATTTGGTTTTGGAAGCAGTCCACAACATGGAAACATCAAACACGTCCTTGCAAGTTTCCTTAGCTCATCATCGGAAGGAACAGTAAATGTTGATGGGTTTGGACAATCAGCACTGATTCTAGATCACTCGAACTCTTGGTGCTCTCCTTTTCCAAGCTGCAGATTGAACTGAACAACACCTGTCCTGCTTGGATCAGAACTTACCTCGTGTAGGCTCTGCATGATCCAGAAAGCGTAGCCGTTATACGACTCCATTCTCGGTATCTGAAAACACTCAGCATATGCTTGCATTGCCTGGAAAACGGTATCTTGCCTTGCCTCTGTGTCCTCCAGGAAGCCATACTTGTGAAGCAGCCTGCGCAGAAACCGATCACTGGGGATAATCTGCCATATCCCAGGAGACGCCGTGGACGTGAAGGCCATGTGCAACTTCTTCACAGCAACGGCCACAGAGTCGGAAGCTTCGGGCAGAAGGCCCATCTTTCTCAAGGTTCCCTTGTTGTGGGTGGTGTTCATAAACACCAGAATAGCTTCTGCAAGGCTTTCATTCAACCCTTGATCCACATAGCCTAACCTTTGCAAAGCTTTTGTCACGACGTCGTCCGAGTTGTGGATAATGAAGGGGCCGCCGCCTTGATAAATCTGACGATCTCTCAAACTTCCGTATCTGCGAACAGCACTGGCTTTTGACCGCCCCTTTCTGGAGGCACAAGGAAGGATGAACGCCAACTTCTCTTGGTACGGCTGCCACTGTTGGGTATCACCGCGTTGTTGGATCAAATGGTGCAGTGCGGTGATGGCACAAGGAGATGGAAACACCTCAATGTCACCGAGACCATGATTGTACCAAAACTTTGCAGCAGCATGGCCAAGAAAAGGCCTTGCCAAATGGTGACTTGCCTGCTGGCAGTAGCCTAAATCTTCCAACAGCGGCTTGACGGCCTCTGCCTCCGCTTCATAGTTCATGAAGGTGCATGGGCCACCTATCGCAACACTTCCGCTTCCGTCGTGATGCAGGATGGCCCTAACTTTTGGGCTGCAGTCTTGCTGCTGCTCAATTGGCATGACACGAACTCCAGCTTCTTGATAAGCCTGAATGGAATTCACATGTCTGTATGGGATGAGAACCATCACCTCAATGTTCTCCTCTCTCACCTCCTCAATCACCTGTACGAAGTCTCTATCTGACGTGAGCAGTGCAATGCAAAGTGCTGAAGTGTTCGTACACGAACGTGCAATGTGTCTCAGATCCGACGTCATCGCCTCATCATTTGCCTCGCCCAGGCCGTCGACCCTCCGAGGTATCGGGCGGAAGGAGATGGATGTGTCCTCGAAAAACTCTCGCCACTTACGGTTCAGTTCTCTTCGAGGCTCTGCATAAACAGTGGTATGCACAGCATGCCCCTTTTCAGATAGCACCTGGATGGCATCCGTCACCTCAGCGATGCTGTGCGAATCACCATCAACCAGCAGCTCTGCCCTGTTTGCATCCGGGCCGGGCAGAGCCCTGAGCGAAGGGGAATTGTGGATCCTGGTCCGAAGTCTCCTTGTCACCGACCGGCTGCAGAGAAGTCCCAACAGACCAAAACAGAGCTGCGATGTGCAAAGACACTGCCTCGAGCAAGTCGTAGCTTGAGCTGCTGCATGGGGCATCTGCCAAGCAAATGGCAGTAGATTTCCTACGACGAGTGTAGGAAAAGCGGCAATCTGAGAGTTGCAGCCCAACATTCTGAAAATTTCAGGCAAGGCGTAACCTGAATGCGCAGAGCGCCATCGAAACAGTTTCGTTCGAAGTCACTCACCTCAAGCTTGAAACCAAGCCAGGGCTTCCCATTGGAAAATCTAGACCCTTGTGGGGGGGGCTGAGCTGGAGGTATGTACACTACCTGCTGATCTCCTTGAGCCCAAGCTACAGGAGAATTCAGCCAGTCCGCTTCATGTACTGTTTTTTGGAGATGATCTGAGCCTCGGAAGCACAATGACCAACTTTTGAACGAAAAGGATGTTAAGGGTGTGCAAACCGCTGCAGATTTCCCCAGGCTTGGCAAAAAGCTAAGCCTCAGGAGCCAAGCTCCACTTTACTGCCGCAGTGTTTCTCAAGTCCTTGCCATGGCCATGGGCGCCTGATGTCGTGGGGTATGCCGCCTGCTTGCAGATTTGGGATTTGAAGGTCTCATCCTTGTTGTTGACCTATGAATTTTAAACCATTCCCTGTTCCAAATCCAGCCCCCCCCCCGAAATTGAGAAAACCCTTCTTGATCAGGGCTCGGTAGAGACTGCAGCTGCGCTAGCGCTTCGCAGAGACTGCAGGAGCTGCGGAGCTCTGTAGCTGCCGTGGCTTCAGGGCTTTGTAGAAACTGCAACACCTCACCCTCCCCCGTAATTAAAAAAAGCCTGAGGTAGGGTGAATTCATCGCCAAGAGGGTGGTCATGTTTTGCAGGTCGCAGCTTCTGTCATGAGATGAAAGCCTGATACAAAACCGACACACCTGCGCAATCCTGAGCCCAGAGCCAAGGCTGCATCATTCATGAGCCGCAGCTCAAGTTCGAGCCGCGTCCTGTTCCCGGTGAACTGTGTTTATCTTCGCATGACTGTAAACTCCAGCACTATGGAGACATGACCACGCACACCAAACCTCAGTGCGACTTGCAAGACTACTTGCAAGACTTCACGGCCTCAACAGACAAGTCAATCTTCACTTCTAAACTCCATGCACATACCAAACCTGATAGGGGCTTCAAGCTGCATCCTTCCAAGTACATACTGGAAATTTGTTCTCGAACACCTTTGGTGCTGTCTTGGATGATTTTGGGTCAACGCAAAGGCGCTCAGTTCATATACCGAGTCTTGGGGTCTCTAGCTTGACTTGAATTGCGGGCCTATGCTTTGCCTGATATACCCTGTGCACGTATTGGGCGATCTTGGGGTGCATTTTCAAAAGGGGTGATGATGTGATAATCGAAAAATCGACGGTTTAAAAGATTGCAATAACTAATTGGTCGCAGATGCAAACAAATCAAAAATCCTCTCCTGCCCCTGCTTCCTCAACACCTCCTCTTACTCTTTTCCTCCTGTTACACTAGTGGTACTATTTAGGGTCGCGGCAAGTGCCCGCCGCCCCTCCTGCCCACCCAGCCATCATGTGCAAGCCAAGCCCACCCCACTCCTGATCGGGCGAAGTGTACGAAAAAGTATGTTCTTGCTACCTGGGATTTTTTCTTGGGGTTTGGAAAGTCCTGCTCTCTTTATCTTAACCGAGAACGACCCAACATGCTATTGTGCTGATGATGCTCCTGCACGGACGTGCACACACGCCCGTATGCCAGCATCATCAGCAGCACAAGGGACCCCATTTTGGTTTAATTTGGACCAGGAGGGGTCCAAAACCAAACAAAAGCCATCAAAAATGGTTCTCTGCGCAGGCTGCACATGTTTTAGCCCGCAAATCCAGTTTTTTGCAAATCAACAGCCACATTTAACAGTTGATAAGCTAAAGTGGTGCAAAATCCTGGCTTAGGAGCTATAAAATGCTGGAAATATGTGCAAAACACGCCAAAAAACCATGCAACATGCACAGCTTATAGGGTTTGGCCTGGGCAATTTGCACGCCAAATCTCTCATACTTGCCATGCAGTGCAGGTCCTACCAGCACTGGTATTTACAACCACAAACACTGGCGTTCTAAGCGCCCAGCGGCCCAAGAGCCAGCATCACAAGCATCATGGGGCTCGTTTGGGCCCCCAACAAAACCCTCGGCATGTGGAGGTGTCCAAAAATTGGAAAGAAAGGCCGAATTGTGCTGATGATGCTGGCCCAAAAACATCGCCCAAACCCTCCGTGGCAGGGGGAAAGCCTCAAAAACGCATCCAAAAATCACCTCAGTTGCTGACCCCCCAAAAATACGCCTCCACAGCTTCCAAGGGGGGGCTCGGCGGCATGGGCCTCACCGTTTCAAGATTGGTCCGCCCGGAACTCCGGGGCGGATTGCTTTAAAAACGAGCCTCACATTAAAAAGAATGAAGACCCGTTGATGAGATATTGGACTTGCTTGTCAAATACACAGGCAATCTCAGGCATCCCAAGCAGAGCAGCAGCTCTCAGTGTGATACTGAGTCAAACAACATGAGTTGCTTGCCCCCCAGCGTCTGAAATGAATAGAATGAAACTATTCGCCAATCGAAGCCTCTGGCCATGGGTTGGACGCCGACTGTCGCCCTTCTTGAACGACTTCGGTCCAACACCACCTGAAAGCTGGCATTCGGCAACTTGCATCTTCTGAAATGGAGTATGGAGCGTGGGCTTTTCATCTCAACTGGCGTTGGGATCTTTGGCACTGACATTGATCCTATTTCCACCGGTGTCCACACAGCTGGAATCTGACACTTTGAGATTCGCAGCTCGAAGCCCAACAGTCCATGCATGAATTTGATTTAGGGCTGCCACCTGTCCCCCCGCGTGCCACGATGTAGGTATCCTCATGGCGCAGAAACCTGAAAGTTGTGGGCTTCACGTTTCTTAGGCCATCAAACCTCAATCTCGAAGAGTAGAGCACCTTGCAAACAAACCCATTGTGCCTGGCGTGTTGACGGAAAGTGCCACAAATGAATGCTGGGGAGTTCAGCATGGACATGGCAGCGCGAGCGTGTCCTGTTTTTGATAACTTGGATGCCCAGGCGCTGGTATCTGAATTGCGGAAGAAAGATTCGACGGCCTCCGCAACTGAGAGCCAAGTAAGACAGCTCGCACACACATAGAAAGCATACGCAACTTGGGAACTTGGCGGGCCCAAATCCTTCAAAGACTAGATCCCAGAAGCAGCCTTCTGACGTGCGCTCGCCACTGAAGACGCGTTCCTGGGAGATCAGTCAAAAGAGGAGATGGACACAGGCGGGCAGGAGTGTGGAGCCCCCATCGTAATAACTGACTCGGCCAGCCGCTTTGACTCCATGGATTTCACCTCCTCCGGCCAGCTTGAAATCTTCACTTCTGATTGCATCCTGGATTCGCGTACGATTGTACCAAGTGGAACCTGCATGGAAAGCTCAAGCTTCTTGCAGTCAAGTTCAGTTCAGGCTGCAAGCTTTTTCGTTTGAATGGTGTCATTCTTAAGATGGTTGAACCGAGTAGGATAATATTCTTCTTTTCAACATGCAGCGAGCAATAGGAGGACATAGCTTATAATCATCTCAATCTACACATTGGTGCCTATAGCATCCTTATTTCCAGTACCCGTTTCATTTGACAGGTGGTGCAGGCCACGACTCCCTGCGCAGGCACGAGAAACCTGGAATGAAGCAAGAAGTAGGCATCTGTGACAGCGCATGCAACAGGGGATTGCATGTGGAAGTAACCAGGCGGCAGTCGCTAATGCTATCAAAAAGCAAAGAACACACTTCGTGCCTGCACGAGTAAATATCTGCTCCCCCGCCTGAAGCACATAGTCTTTGCCGTGCTTGCCGCGGGATGTGTCATATCCTTGGCAGGCTGCATGCTACTCCAGTCTCCAAGCTACCTTGTATGCTAGAATCCCGTAAGAAACCACGTGCCCAGGCAATATGCCCTTGACATTGTCAAGGCCACCTAATCCCCCTTGCCACACACCCTGTAGTCCCTGCCCCAGAACGATCGTGCTGCAGGCTTTGGGTCTAACTTGGAAACATACCGATGCCAGCTCTAAATCCAATATCAGCCCCAAGCCTCATGAGCCTCGCCTCAGTGCCACCATGAAGCCATCGCCGCCGTGATCAGCTTTGATTTGCTCAGGCACGTCCTGGACTACAACGACTACAGGCTGCCTGCAGTGCATGCACAACTTGTGCAGCTTTGTTTGCAAAAGGACAACTGCACATCAGTTGTACATCCATGTACCACACAAAAAACTCAGCTCCGTCATTGCAACTAACGGCTGAGCTTCAGCAGAGCTGCCAGAAAGCTTTCGATTTGGGTTGTTGCCTGCAAAGGTCCAGGGCAAGGATACACAGCGGCAGTTAGATTGCATCATTCGCACAGCTCAAATCCTTACATGTCATACCATTGAAGAAAGAAGCCTCCTCAACTTCAGACCGCCGAATCCGCCAAGCAACGAGCCTTCAGAATCACGCTCCCTCCATGTCCGCCATAGCCAGGACCGGTCGGTATGTGCGGCCTCCGGTTTGCCTTGGCATAGATCTAAGATCCGGTCCCACGCAAGTTGGTTTCCACTTGCTGATGCCGGAAGCTTTAGTGCAAGGAGGTGGTGAGGCTCCGATGTGAGCTATATCTGAGGCCGGAAGGACATAATTTTCAACTTTGACTGCTGCCAGAAAGCATTCGGCGCTGGGTTTCCACCGTTACCGGCCTTCGCGGACAGCCACATCCTGTGGAAGGTTGGAGAATCCCCAGCTTCAAGCTTAAGTTGCGACTCACCGCCCTGTCAAGCCCTGTCCTGTCCACAAAGGGTCTCTGAAGCCTTGGGAACGATTCCACGTCCTCCAGGGACTTTCATCAAACTTCTCACAGTCTTGTCAGTCTAGCAGCTAGCTATAGCGCGTCAAGTCGTCGAACGAGGCTGTGTCTATCACGAACACATACTCTGGTCTGCAGCTCAAAAGCTCAGAGCTAGATGCCCAGACATGATGTTAAGCTTGAAAAGCCCCGAACAGGTCCCACCTCTGTACCCAAGATCTCGACCACCTGGCCCGGTGAAGGGTCCGCAGAACCTCAGTAACAGACAAGGCATGGCACAAGAATGAACTGCTCAAGAATCAACAGCCAAGCAAGTAGACACCATGTCTGAAAGAACGATCTGGACTTGGGAAGCCCCTTGTAACTTCCTTGTCATACCGGCCGCAGACCACTTCTCAATCAAAGCCACTGCGTGACTCGTTCATGCTCACCCATCATACCCCACTCACTCACCCATTGCAATCCAGTGGCTGATGCCTTTGTTTCGGCCTCGCTGTGCAATCCTGAACTCAGAATCGCGGTTCGATATGATTCTATACACTTCCGGCCGGGTGGTCATGCTTGCATTTCCACTCAATTCATACTGCATGAGCTCAAAGGCCCACCAAGGGCAGCGAAGATCTCGATATCAACACCACACACTCTACTTGCCTTGATCCGTGGACCTGATCTCACATCAGCTGACTCAAAACTGAAAACGGTTTCAACTGCCGCGAAGATGCGCATCTTCTCCCTCAATGGCCGCTAGCGCCGCAGCATCAGTGAGGTGTCGGAGCCTAAATCGAGCCGGGTCGCAGCCATCATCGTTCCGGTGAGAGCGCTCCCACTTTCACCCGAGGCCCAAGAATTGGATGGGTATCAATCAGTGTCAATCTTTGTCACTCCAAGCCTTCGTTTAAGCTCGTTACTGCTTGTGGGCACCGGGAAACCGAAGTCTTCAGAACACGCTCTGCAGTAAATTCTCTGCGTCGAAACCAAACTAAGAAGTGCACTGAGGCAGAAGTACTGATCGAAAGCGTCCTGGGCAGGAGGATGAGTTCGATAGACAAGCTTTGGGACGCAACTCCAAACTGCACAACGACGGGTAGCGAAAGGAAATGGCCACCTGCCCTCTAGGCCCTGCTGGAAAACAGCATCAATCAACCTTTGGACCCTGCTCAGGCTGAAGGCGAACTCGCCAGCAAGGGCCGGTGCCATTCCAAAGGCTGTATGCCAGGCAGCGAGGCTTTCTCTTTCAGGCTGTAGTTCTATATCTAGAGTCTTCTTGTTCTTGGCATTTGGGGCCCTCAAGGTACAGTAACCAACTTCAACCTTGACCAGTGAAGACTGAAGGATCTGCAAGATCATCCTGAGCCCCCTGTGAAGATGCAGGCAGCTCTTCAAACTTTGAGGTTTCATGCTGGACCTGATGAGGTGGCAGGTAAGCTTCTGCAGTGGGGGCTTGGTAGCAACCGCTACCAGTTGTGGCCCATCGGCTGGAATTCACCTAGCAGTGCTGCCTTTTCTCGCAGAAGCCAAACACGCAAATTGTAAAGGTTGCACCGATGTCCTCAACGCAGCCTTCAAAGGGTGATACACGTGGTGCCACAGGAGTCCTGAGCACCCGTCCAGCAGCCATAGTTCAGCTACGGATCAACAGTGAAACTGGAAGCCATCTCCCGTGCATTAACCTTGCCGGAGGTCCGGTGCTGCAGCTTTGGAAGCATAACAACTCTGGCCAGGCTCTCCAACATACTCTTTTCCAAGATTAAGATGGGCCATGAATGCATCTGGTCAGCTGCAAACTACCAATACATCCCAGCGTTCATTGCGGGCTTAGCTCCTCAAGGGCAGCAGTTTGGATTCAAGCAACTGGATATGCACTGTGAGAGAGTTCAACTGGAAGCAATGACTCAGTATCCTGAAGTTTTGACGAGATGGCCTTGTCGTGCTGCTTGATTGCTGTGTCCGCCGTCACCTTTGAAAGCAGCACATTGTGTTCTGCAATGTTCTGCATGAAAGTACGGAATGAAGGTTCAGGGAGCAGTACACAAATTCAATCATGGTGCCTCGGCAGCCTTTGTGGCCTCTTCATGGTGAGCATCGACAGAAAGATCCTCCAGATCAGCAATGGCAAATGCTAGTCATGGATGCGCCAAGAAGATATAGACAAAATGCTTGCTGTGGCAAAATAGAGATATTGGACACAGCTGAATGCTCCTGCGGCAGCTGAGCCAACGTCTCATCCAAGGATGGACCTGACCGGAAAACAACGGCTTCAGAACGCAGCCCAAGTCCAAACGCCTCAAGTGCCCCAGAACCAAGTGAGAGTACCCTCACATCTCAACAAATTACAAAAGGCTAGGTCGCCTCGCTTTGCCTCCACCGGGATCGCGGCGGCCTGGCCACTAGCAAACACAAAGCTCAGGCGATGAAGTTGGAATTCTTAGAAGAAGGCGTTGTGTTTCTTGAGGTTCAGAGTAGAGTTTGATACGAACATGGACTTCAACGGCCAACACAAAAACAAGCATCCTTAACAGGGCTGGAAAGGGGGGCAGGCGGCACATGACGTGTGCGACCAGCAGATGCAAGGAGCTACAGTAACGATACTTCCAGTCCTTGCGAGCAAAGTGCGGCCCGTGGAGGCTTTTTTGGCTGCATGACCCTGGGATCGAGGTTCGAGGGAAAGCTGAGCTTCGGCCTCCTCGGCCTCTTCGGCCTCGGGCTGCCCAGATTGCTTGGAGAGCCTCGGAAGCGAATTCCTGGCACAGTCCAGACAGTTCAGTCTGATGCATGTGGCAAGTGCATGCTGTCTACCTCTTTAAAATCTAGTGTGAGGCCGATGTCTGCGAACTACAATCAAAGCCTCAAAGTCACCAATGAGGTATAGCAAGAAAAAACTCTCGCCATCTTTTCACGATAGTTCGCGAAACCGGACGGGCTTCTTTCCAAAGTCTGCTGTAGAACGTGGAGTCTCTGCTGCAAGCCAGACTTTACTCTGAAGCGTTGCCTCTTTGCCGTGCCGCTGTCCCTGATTCCAACCTGCATCAAAGCCAACTACTCAGACAAGAAATCAAGTTGCCAAAGATTTGAGTGCCAGAAGGGAAAGGCAACAGGAGTATTGCTGGGTTCACAGTAGAACCTGCTGTGCAAGACAAACCAGGAAACAAGCATGATGCCATCATTTCACTGATAGTGAACGCAGACGAGACCCCGTGACTACAGGAAGCCTTGGCCCGAAGGAACACTGCCACGAAAGCCAGAGGACGTGAGGTGGAGGAATAATTCAGGAGTGGGCAAGGTGAGGTCGAGGGCGCTCAACACTGGCTGCATAGAGTGCAGGGCACGCAGGCTTCAGGGTCGGGCCTGGAGACAAACTTGACTGCACACCTTTGCTTGGTGCTAAACACCAGGAATTGATTAACTCAACATTTCACAGGAGGTAGGGAAGGCTCTGCCTCCTCAAGCACCATATTGGCTACTGAATTCACTTTCTGACACACCAAGAGAATTGTACCCAGAGCTCCGAAACTTGCTTCCACTACATGACCAAACTGAAGCACGGACAACTTAATGCAGGCTCACCTTTTCACTGGCACCCTTTGCGCCTTTCTGCCTCAGACCCAAGCAATATTTCTCCGCATGTCAAACTAAGGCATGCGCAGCGACAACAACTGCCTGTTGTCTGAACGGAAAAACGTCTGAGGCTGATGCTTTTTCTTTGCCGTTGCCAGGTTTGGTGGCACTGTTGGCCTCAGGTATGCAAAATGCAAGTCTTCGGTGAGGCGATACAAAGAGCCCTGCTGCAAATTGGACTATCCTGCCTAGCGTCCATTCCTTGAGCTAGGACCGCAACGGAGGAACAATCACTTCCACCATGCTGGTGACCTGGTCCTGCAACACAAGTTTTCCCAGCTAAGAAACGCAGTTGCCACCAACAAGCTTTGTACGCCATAGCTGTACACCTGCTATGGTTAGGTGAGTCCAGCGAGTCCAAGCTACAGGAACCGCGATCCTACCGCTGAGCAGATCGGGTCTCGGGATGTCTCATGGCAGAAGGTTCAGGAATTAAAAGTTCAGCTGCAAGTAGACCATCCGCCAGACCAGAAATTCTTATGAGGCGCCTTGCCTGCGGCGACACAAGCACGCACTGGTACAGGAGGAACTGCTGAAAAAGGGCCCCTGCCAGGAACGGGAAAAATCCCACAAGGGTTGAGATCTGGCCGCAATGGCTGGACGAAACATGATCCCATGTGATGACATACCGACACGTGCGAACACTGCAGGAGTGAGTCGCCCTTGCGAAGAGCACTAGCCAAGAACCAGAAGCACGACATGGCAGCCTGTCAGGAACTCAGTGAGCAGTCGAACCTCTGAAAGAGTGAAAACCTTGCATTGCCAGGTCGTTATGCTGAAGGTTCTGAGACAACTGGAGAACTGCGAATACGGTGCTGGGCCGCAAACTCCCAGTGCCAAGGTGGAATCAGCTGGAATCTGGCATGATCACAGTGGGCACAGAATGGTGCAAACTTACACTACACTTCTGGAGCGTTTGCTTCAAGAACGCAGCAGCCAGAATCTAGTTCGAGAGGAAACAGCACCCTTGGCAATGCTAGCTGATCATGCCGCTGCCTGATTTCTATCGATCAACTTCCTCGCAGATGTGGTCGCAGCAAAGGAGTGGGCAAGAAGTAGCCTGCCAGCGCCACTTTTTGCTGTTCACTGCATCTTGACCTGACCAGAAAGATCTCAAGCGATGAGCCTCTTGAACTCCTGGAAGCACTCGTAAATGGACGAAGTCTCTCCTGGCTTAGAGATGCTCAGAGCTCATACGGCTTGGAGCTGCCGCTGTCCTAAACTGCTGTCAACCCGTGGATTTGTCTCTTTGCTAGCAACACCACGCCAGGTGACCAGGAAAGAGACATACCTAATTACATAGATTTGGCATCCTAGAATTAGCACTCTTGCCAACAAGGGAGGACCTCTGCATGGTCTCAAGAGTCCAGAATTACAAGCAATCAAAACTCTTATCTCTGCGGGGCCCGCACCCAAGCGCTTGGCAGACTTTGACTTCACATGCCTTTGCTCTGTGAGGAAGAAAAAAATCCAACTCCAGATGGGGCGAGCAGGAAAGGAGGATCATGGTAGGCTGTAGGCAGGCAAGGCGCATCATCTCCAAAATCTGCTCCAGTATCCGGACCTCACTGACACCCCACTTCCAGAGGATTCCTCACCCACAATGATATTTTTACTTTAGCTGTTCTGATCTTTTCTAAGGCTTCCACAAGCCATGAGCTATCTGGCAGGCAGGCACACTCGGCAATCTGGGAGTGCGGGGAGCAGAAGCAGCAGGTATGTATGGAAGTGATGTTTGTGAGGCACATGGCTTCATGCACCTAGCTGATGAAATCAGTATCGCCAATGTGGAGCGACAGCTTGAACAAAACTGAAGCACGCGAACCATCGCTTTCTTGATGCCCAACAATTAGATTAGAGAAACATTGATGCGCCTTCACTACTATCAGCCCCTCCTGTTCAGCCTACCCAGTGCTTATGGGCACTCTTGCAGACAGCCACAATGCCGAGTCCTGGACCATCACTGCGGTCTTCCGTGCCGTCAGACACATCGACTGCAAATGGAAATAAAGGTGTCACAGATTGCGCGGAAACTTGGCACTCATGCCGGCATGCTTACGCCCTTACCTCTTGTAATGGCTTCCCAAAACAGAGCTTAGCACGATGACCAGTTCAGGGGAGCTGATGGGAGCTTCAAGCCGCAAAGGCCGATCTTGAACAGAGATAGCATGGGATGCTCCAGCCTCAGCACATGCCATGAGATCATCAAAGAGATCCAGCACCACCTGTCACCAACGGGCAAGCGAGATTCTTTGCACATGTACAGCATGTCAGTATGTCAGATGAAAAGGCAATTCAGACAGAAAATCCCAGCAGATGCCCGCAACGGCGGAATGCACAAATTGTCAGAGCTCGGGGCCCAGTGGTCGGGAATGCGCTATTTGGACAAAAGACCAACAGGACCCCGAGAGCAAGAAGTTGCTACATGCAGAGAAACTCCCAAAAGGAAAATGCTACAAAGCAACTTCGAAGATGGCTACAGACCTCGCGTGGCACGCTACATGCACATCATTGAGATGTTTGAACTTTGCTTGAAGTCCTGGGGCTTGAGGCGCTTCGGCCCATGCAATGGGCATGGATTTCAGCTGCACTGTTGTGAGATGGGATATCTTCATGGATTCTCCATGCTGGCAAACAATGGCTGTCTAAAGTTTGTTGATAGGTTTCTGGTTTCGTGATGGTTTATGCGGGTGTTTTCAAGGTTCTGTGTGGTTTGAATGATGCTTTTCGGGTCTTTCGTGCAATTGTTTCATGATGATTCCAGGATGGTTTTGCATGTTTTGTCATAGTTTCACGCGGGCTTCATCTTTTCAGTCCCGATGAATGTGCGAGGTGTCGAGGGCGATCTTGGAGGGCTAGGCCTTGTGAGCAGCCTCAAAAACTTTCATACCGTGCCAGAGAGAGCGCCTGAGCAGCGAAACTGACTTCCAATTGTGCTAATGATGCTCACATACGTGGCATACCAACGTACCAGCGCGGCCCCGGACCCGGACCCGGAACGTGAGCATCATCAGCACCATTGCGGCGGTTTTGCTACCCTCAAACCAAACTGAACTTAAAATGCACAGCACTCGGGGTTCCACAATTTCTGCTTCTACTACAACGACTTCTACTTATCTTGTCACTTCTCCGAGCCCTCCCTACCCCTTTTACTCTTGCTCTCGGTGGGTCTTGCTGCTGGTTACGAAAGCGGCAGGCATGCCCCACGCTTCTGGCCTGTACGTGGGTGGCGCTGCATCCACCAAACCCCCCTGCCCTCAGCATCATTGGATGGGTGCTCACCTCCTAAAAGCATTCTGAGCACCAAATCCAGGCTGCAGGTAAAGATGATGCTCATGACGCTGGCCCCCCTGCCGGCATCATCAGAGGGGCAGAATCATCAGCATCATGGAGGCTAGGTTTGCTCCTTCTCCTTGTTTCTAGCCTGCCCATGCGCGATTGGCCACGCATTGTGGGGTTCAGGAAGTCTGGATGCTGGCCTTATGGAGGCTATCCGTGTTTAACGCTGGCTTCATAAGCTGTCTCAACGACCGTAAACCCTGGAGAACCCCCCAAAACTGCCCTCGGATCAACGTAAACACCGCCCGAACAAGATTCCAATAAAACCAAAAACCATCACAAATCCTCAGAAGGCATAGACCTGAAAGCACATCACTGAAACCCCACAAAACCTGCACAAAATCTGCAGAATATCGCTATAAACATCTATAAACCTTCAGCTCCGTGAGCTCAGTTCCAGTGGTATTTGCAAGGCGCTGCCATAGAAAGGTGGGCTGACAGAGGGGAGGGACCTGCACTGCCCGCCCCTGCAGCCCCTTAAATATTTGCAATGAGAATAGCAATCATAACAATCGAAGTCACAGTAGCAGTAAGCTACTACCATCCAGAAAGCCACCACCAGCACCACCACCACCACCACCACCACCACCACCACCACCACAACCACCATCACAACCACCACAACATTACCACAACCACTGCCGCCGCCACCACCGCCACCACCGCCACCACCGCCACCACCGCTACCACCGCTGAAACTGCCATCGCCACCGACACCGCGCCAACGCCAGCGCCAGAGCTCTCATGTTTCTGACAACTCCTTCTACACCTGCTAGGCATGCAAGTCTTCAGTGCCCACAGCTCTTGCAGCTCTGGCACCTTGCATGGAAACAGCACCCTGTTCTTCGCATGTTCCATGCGAGATCTGTACCGCAGTTGTTGGAACATGCAAGATGAGATGGAGAATAGCAAGACAGCCCCGTTTGTACCCTCTTTGCGGCCTCCTGCTGGAACGCGCGGCCGAGATGATCACCAAGGCCAGCAGCCGTGAGCAGTGCCCGCGCAGCTGAGCAGAGGTCAACATCTCACGCATTTTACCTTCAGAAGGTGACCTGCCAAAGTCTATCTACCCTGCGCTTAAACCTGCATAGATAAAATGCAGCCACAATTTCGGACATCAGCCCAAAACTGTCCATCTATGCATGCTTGTTGCCGTGCTGCCGCTGCCTTCCGAGCCCTCCCCGCCCTCGCCGCCCTCGCTGTCCTCCGCCTGTCAGTCACGGGCAGTTGGAAAGTCATACCGAATCTCTGCGGACCGGCGTGCATCGGTGATGTCTTTCTAGGCAAGGTAATTGTTTAATGCTTGTGCATTCAAACTTCCCGCGTCAGCCCTTGCTGAAGGCAGGCAGTCACTGGCTCACGTTTGCACAGACAAGCAGGCAGGTCCCTTTATCTTCAGCAGGCAGCAGGCTGCGACAAAAATTTGGGCACCTGGAGCCCTGCAACCAGGGATACCCAACACAGACCGAGACGCGAAACTCCTTTTTTTCAGACCAGACTCAGTCAGTTGAGCAAGGCAGGTCGCTCTTTGGTCCTTGTTGCCGGCCAAGGCACCTGCAAAGCAAAATGCAGAACAAGCATGAGGCTGCCTCCTCCACTGAGATGATCAAGGGCTGCGCAAATCTGCAGAAGTGTCACTTCTGATGTTTTGGAGACAGATAGAGAGATTGAGTGAGTAGGCGGCATCCCATCGGCCTGTGAAATATACTGGGCGGCAACGAGACCCAGGGCCAGGGAGCTTGTGGCAAGCGCCGCAACCTGTGGCAAAATCAGCACTAGTATGCGCTAGTGGTCGGTTTAGCTGCAGGCCCACCAGTCCAGTTCACACACTCGGCCCCCGCTCAAATTCTACGGAGGCCGAAAGCAAGCCTGCAAATGGAATTCCCACTCACAAATCACAAATTTCAGAAAGCTATGTCTTACACTCCTTGACACTCTGCAATCCGCCAGCTAGGGGCTGCCTTGAAGGCCTTTTGCTTCAGAACAAGGAAGCTGAGGGTTTGAGATTCAAGTGCAACCCTCAAAAGAGGACCCACGTCTATCCATGCTTGGACTCCAACTGCTGTTGCCGGACGCCGAGGCCATCGTCTGTAGCCCAAGTAGGCCTCAGCGGAGCTGCAAGGTCCATGCCCTTCACAAAAAAACAGTGCTTTGTGGGCCCTTGTGCGCGCAAGTTGCCAGAGGGAAGGCCCCACCAAGACCCAGCAGCGCAGCGCCATCGCGGAGAGCGAAACCTCGCAAGGGGCCAAAGGGCACTGTCAATACCAGTCTGGGTTGTGGCTTCTGGGTGTTCCTGTCCAGTGTCCTTTGTTCGTATGTCTTCAGGCTTTGAAGTTCCGGCCAGGGCCCCAACAATTGTCAAGTCAGGAAGTGCTACGTGCAGATAGCGAGATTTGCTTTTCCATGATGCTCCTCAACCATGATTCTGGAAGCAACGTCTCAGATTCCCATCATCCAACGATCACATCCACCTCTGCTGAAATTCAGTCGTGCTTCGTTTGCAAGCTCCAAACACACCCTCATCTGCCATCACTAGGACAACCCCTGCAAATTTCAAGCCTTGTGCCCGAGACATTACGAATGCTTGCAACCTCGTGCTACTTTGGCTGGCTTTCTGAAACGGAGCTCACAGCGTGGCACTCCCCGATCTCAAGTTAGAAGCCAGCCACAAAGCCTCTGCTGCCGACACTGCTTTGGGAGCATTCGCAGCAGGAGGCGCTGTCCTGCCCAGGATGTGCTCACGGCACATCCTGGGTTTGAAAGACTGCCAGGTTCGGCTTACCACAGCTTTCAACTCTCACAGAACCGTTGTCCAGTTGAGGTTTCCTGGCAAATCGCATTTTGGTATCCTATTGTGGCAGTTATGAGAGAACAAAGGGTGTGGCCCAGAAAATGTCCTCCTTGACCTTTTCAGCTCCCTTCAGCAACGCAGCTGAACCCCAAAGGCCGGCAACCTTTCCAGTCTTCTCAAGCCATGCACTAAACTCTAGACATTGCTACCTCATGTTAAACAATCTAGAGCAGTAGCAGCGGCAGCTTCTCCGTATACATGTGTATATAAAGAAGCAACTACAACATGCAAAGCAGACATGCCTTTGAGACAGTTTATTCAATCTGGATCTCTGTGGAATCCATCACTAGGTCTACGTGTTGGTGGACTAGCCATTCGTGCTCCAAGGGTATCAGTCAGCAGCCATGACAGCTCAACACGCCCCGTTGAGTACCCGACTGCAGGCGGGATGAAGCACAAAGGGCACGCCTGAGAGATGCAAAGCAAGTCAGAAACATCTCTCCAGACTCAGCTTGCAAGCTTTGTGAGCTTTGCACCGTTGAGTGAGACTGAATGTGAAGCCCATGCATGGCGCAAGGAAACTGAGCGGGGCACCATCACAGCGTGAGCGAGCAAGCTAGCCAGCGAGCCAACTATTTGCCGGCTGTCGAGTGGCAAATGCAATTATTGTGTTTCCCGTCAGTGTGTCTGCCGTTCCGAACGAAATGCGTCAGCTGCGTTCCTGGAACCTGCGTAGATAGCTTGAGCCGTGGAGCTTCAGCAATGTGAGCTCTTATTCAGACCAACGGGTGACAAAGCGTTGCCGGCTTACATACAAGCTCACGACCAGCTAGCGAGAGATCAATGTGCCTTGAGCCTCCGGTATTCGGTGACCTCAGGTCGGACCGCACATGTGTCAACCCAGCAGACGAATGACTCGTGAAGAATCGCGCGGTCAGACAGCAATGGCTCAAAAACGAAAGATCCTACAAAGGATTCAGAACGGACATCAGGCCAACAATGCATACCTCTGTTGCTTCTCAGCTTCTGAGAATACCAACTCGTTGGTTGAAAGTGGTGCAAGCCCTGCTCTGAGCCCTTGACCTGCTCTGGCATCAGAGAGAGGGAAAGTCCAGTTCCAAGATCCTCGCGGTGGGTACACTTGCCCAGGACATGAGTTTTTTTGCAGCAGGACAGTTGCTAAAGCCTTTCTGTGAACCTCTACCTGTAGATGCCTAAGCCAAGGTCCAAGGAAGCTGCCGAGCCTTGCTACCTGTTGCCAGCCCGTGGATTTGCTGAGGGGTCAGGACGAACGCGCACGCCTTGCAGCCAGATTCAGCGTGTACTGACGTGCTGTAATTGCAAAGTCCAGGTTTGAAGACCAGCCATTTCACTTCTGCCTGCACATCCTTCACCCCCACTCCAGCGGTGACTGCTGACTCAGGTGGCCCAAGCCTGGCAGGGGACTACAAGAAGAAGCTTCTCATTCGTTTAGCTTCCAACTTGGCATCAGCAAAACCTGGTGCAGCCTGTGGAGAATCCACATGCTGAGCTGCCCGCAGGAGTGGCTGATCAGGCGCTGCCTTGACCTGGCAGACAACTTAATGGGTACTAGTGACTTCCCAAGACTCCACGGTGCCTGAAGAGCCACGGGCGCGCCTGGGGTTCAGGCAGCGGAATTGGTGGAACCAAATATGTCATGTAAAGCAGGACACTCTGAGCACCGGGGCTGTCCAGGCATCCATCCACGAAAAGAGAGACTTCACCGCACTCTTGCACAACTACCTCAGAACAGCAAGCAGTGCTGCTGGCACACGCACATGGTCGAGTGGTCAGGTAAAACCTGTCATGGCTCTGCAAATCTAGGCATGCTCTCCTCCTGACCAATCAGCTTTGCACCAAGCATTCTTGCTGAGATCCCGGCCGCAACGTGGTGCCACTCCCTGGCTACAAGCCAGGTGTCTCCTACACTTCTGTCCTTCTGTTGGATCCCTTGTCAGGGCTGAATACAGGCTGGCCGGCACCCGTCAGCCAAAGCAGTGCTGCCAACCTGGGCTGACTGCCACACATCAGGCTGGACCTCCTGTATCACAGCCCTCTCACAACGATTCCCAAAAAGCTCGTCCTTGGTGCTTTCTGGCAGTTAAAGGCAAGCTAGTGTAAAATCCCTATCACTTCAAGGGTTCGGGGTCCTCATCCTAATAGTTATTCCAGTTTACCTGGTCAAACTCAAAAAATGCTCGTTGGACCCTGTACGGACACTCTGCCATTGGGTGTTTGCCCAAGGCAAAGAAATTCAGAGTCAATAACTGTAGGGCCTACAGTGTGGGGGCACCCTGCTGTCGGACTCTGTAGGTACTCCGTGAGAGTGGTGACTGCAAGCACATGCAATGACACTCCAGGGTTGGGTGCGGAAATGAGCGGAAAGACACTTCATGGTCGGGCAATCCAGGGACGGGCGCTAGTAGAAACCTTGTGGATGTGGGACATTGAAATGAGGCCCATTGGGTACTCCAAGAAGATGTGTGACCTTGCATAGAGATCACGTCTTCTCCAAAAAGTTATATTTGCAGGCAGCAAGGGTTGTTCAGGCGCCCGGCCGCTTGTCCTGATGGCAAAGGCGCTTGCCTGGGTGGATTTTTTGATGGCAAAATTGTGGGACGGCCATGGACGTGTTTGGGGTTCTGATTGTTTGTAAAGGTTCAGACCCGAAGTAAAAAATGTTCAAGTACGTAGCTGCGACAAAGCCGTTGCCATCTTGGACCACTACTCCGCAGTACCTCATCTGCGGATTATCTGCCCGCAGATATTGACAGAGGCTTGAAATGAAAGCTGCCTTGCTTGCAGGCCTTGGCAAGAGTTGAGCTTCACAGCTTCCATCTCTGGCAACTTTTGTCGGCAATGAACTTTCAAATGAGGGCTGCTACCTCGAGATTGTTTGAGGCTCGTTTCAGCTGCTCCGATGAGGCCCCCTGACGCTGAATGCTCGCTACCAAAACCATCATCTCGGGAGTGAACGTCGAAAACTCTTCTTCGCCCGCATCCTCCTTTGCTTCTTCTGCCTGCAAATTTAAGAGGATCAGCTTAACCACTTACGGAGAGCTTAGACCTGAAGTCTTAGTGCTCTGCTCGCTTTCTGCCGCCCCAAACTTAAACCAAAGAAACTCATGGGGACTGCTGCGAGCTCTCATCCCCGCAGAACCTCCACTGGCTCGGGAGGAAGAGCAACGGCAAAGCTGACCTGCACACAGCTCGCAAGACTTAGTGACTTCCAGCCACAGCTTTGACACAGATGGCGCGAAGCTTAAAACTTTGCCCCAACAAAGCCAAGCCACCGTTGGCCCAGCGGAGAATCGCCAGCCCTGTGGGAGCTCTCCCTTTGAGAGGATCCTCTGAAGGAATGATATCAAATCTCTGATGTGGGAGGCAATATGCGTAGAGCTTGCATGTCTTCACTTCCCAACCAGGTCTACGGAGATTGCCGCGTCCTGTATCCACCCTCGGTCGTGCCCTCTGGCGGCAGTCGCACGCGAGCACAAAGCGAGAAGGCCCTTGACCTGAGCACAGGGCAATATGTTGTGCCAAGGGGCTGTTGTGTCCCAGTGTGTAGATACACATGTATACATATGTATATATATATACATGTATGCAATAACGGCTTGTTCTAAAACACGAGCTTTGTCCTACAACACGGGGCTTGTGAAGTGTAATGCACTGAGTGTTTGCTCTATAGCTGCTGTAGTTTTAGCCTGGAAAACGAATGTCAAAACATAGGATTTGTGCTGACCAGTATTCAGGAAAAATCCACTGCATTCGAGAAAACACTGTGGCCCGGCAGTCAGAAGCAAACACAGATGAAAAACAGCAACAAGTCTGGCCTCATAATCGCGGGATCCCAGAGATACAGTTTCATGTTTTTCTTTTGATGTTTTGATTGCACTGTTGCTTTTTGTTATGGTTCTCCCTGGCCTATGGCGCCGGAGTTTGATTTTTTCTGCGGATGTTCGGTCCCTAGATCATGTGATCCCAAGTTCCTGAGACTCAAGTGAAAATTGCTATACAGAGCCTAAGATTTCGGCTGATTTTGCTTCATGCTTCGTTTTCAAGTTTCAAGAACCCTCCGGCAGAGAGCCCTTCTTTTGTAGAACTGGTTGTTCTGCGAGCAGCCACGCTCGCGCCTCTGTTCTGCAACATTGAAATTGTATCACACCATCCCTGATTCTGAAGTCCGATATGTTTGCCCCACAGCCAACACTTTCAGTGCAGCAACTTGACGAAGGACACGACACCTTTACGTTCTGAAATTCAACATTCTATATACAGATGCATGACGTAGAGAGGAAATACACTGATTTCGCAAGCCTGTGGCAGCAGTTACACTTTCAGGACCCACACACATGGCCGAGCTGGTTCTTTCTGCTTCACGTTGCCCTGAAGTCTTCGGAGTGAGGCCGCCACGCGGGCGCGACATCGAAAACATCACCGCAATCGATAACATCCGCAACTTCACTGTGAGCGGCCCAGTTGGGGGTCAGGAAAACCTGAGCTCGCAGATCTTGGCCTTGTGTCGGCTGTGCTGCAATGCGAGGTGTCTGTTGTTGGGATGCCTCCGCTTCGAACTGCTGCGCGCAAACTGCGAGCTCACAAATGACAGACACGACAAACCAAGCGACCGCAGGGCAGTCGACAGCATAGGTGTGTGGTCCTGGCGCAGACGCGGGGAAAGAGCTGAAGCTTGGCAATGATGCGGACTAGGTCAATCTTGAGGTGTTATTTGGCTGCTTTACGGTCCTTTGGGGTACTGTCTGGTTAAGGGCCGGTAACGTTCATGCCTAACAGATGCAATGGTAACCACTGTGTTGTGGTTTCTCGAGTCCAGTGCAAGCCTGCCCTTTCAAGCTGTCGACAATTCCACTGCCTCACATGCATCCTCGACCTCAACGGAGAGTTCCCGCCTACATCTTCTTCTTCCTCCACAAAGCGGGAATTGTCAACTGCATCCTGCAGCACAACACAAATGAATGCAAAACACGTCTATGCTTACGATGCCGAGCACGCCAGGAGCACCTACAAATTGCAGCAACACACGGAGATCCGAGCTAGCACTATCTGCGAAATGGATCACTGACCCAGTCTCATCCGCATATCTGAAGCAAATCATGAGAAGGTAAGCCCTTCTTCAACAACCTCGGCATGAGATGGACTGGGCCTCCTCTTCTTCCTGGGGTTCCTCAGCCTCCTCTGCGGGCGCCATGGGCAGGAGGCACAAGCCAAGGACTTGGCCACGATCTTTGGAAGTAACTGCTGATTTTTTGAATACGAAGTTCCAAAGCGTTCTGTTCGCCACAGCTAATTTCGAAGACGTAGAAGCACATACTCACAGGCAATTTTGCTCCCACTATCCAGCAGGAGAGGCTTGGGTTAGACTCTTTCAGTCAGGCTGAGTCACGCTGTAGCTACAATCTGTAGCGACCCAAACCAGATGAACTAAACTATGCTAAACTGCCATGCAGTACCAACTTGGTGATCCATACGAAGTCAAGACATGCATGCTTTTCTGTTCGTAAAGGCGTCTCAAACATGTTCCAAGACTGAATGTGGACCTTGCACTTGTTTACAAGGCTGACAGACGCGACATGCGCTGCCTCAAGGATGAAGCCGCCAACGAGCTAATCCCTCCCAAAGAAAAATGTTCTGCAGTCTGCACTTGCTTTTTCTTGCACTGTTCTGCCTTCCCTTGCGCAGGTCTTGCCCAAATCCCAAGAAGTGAGGATACAGAAACCTGACTATTGCATGTACTATGGAATGCTGAATCTGTTTTGATATCACAGCCTCCAGCGGCATGACCTGAGTGCTTCAGCCTCAAAAGTGCAAAGACCATTCCCCAAATCGTTTGTTCTATCTCTGGCTATAGCCGAAGTCGGAAGCCATCATGAACGGCATTGTCAACGGAAAGCTTGGGATGTGGGCTCGGTGACTCAGATTGAGGAGCACAAAGTCAGAAGAATCTCGAACGAGCTTTCCTCAACAATCACTGTCAAAATGATCTTCCGAAGTCAGAGCAACACTTCGTGCTCCCTGGATGGCCAGCATTGGCCAGCAAGGCTGGCAACCCTCTCTGTACATGGCTGCTGGGCTAACAGTGGCTTGATAGTGCTGTCAACCTGCAGCCTCAGGGAGCGGAAACGAAGACTCCAGCAGAATTTGCTCGCTCCCTTCAGCTCCATCGCATCTGTGCAGCCACTGGGTGGCTCAAATCGACGAATTTGCGTGGAGATCTCCTGTTGACTTCGGCCCTGAAGCTGAAATCCAGAGCTTTGGTCTTCAGAATGGCTTGCAAATGCTTGCAATCCACTTGCTACAGCTCATCCAAAGCACTCTGATACAGTTGGTCCCCCGCAGAGCTGGATTCGGGGAATTCAGCTCCAGAGCAGCTTCAGCCCTGAATTCGAGGATGCCATGGCTTCAAATCTCAACCTGCATTTGGCTACTCGGAACCCCAAGGCCCCTCCCATAGCCTGCGAGCACTGCAGACGATACAATCAGTCCGGCACCTAGTTTGATTATCCGGTACGTAGTGTCCTAAGACTGCAGTGCCCGCTCCTCTGAAAACAGGATCCAGCTGCTGAGAAAAGCAGGCCCTCACTTTAAAAGCTGTGGGGCTGTGCGAGTACCTGGGGCAGGGAGCGCCACCAGGAGCCCAAGCTACACCCCCCATCAGTTGTCCAGGAACGTTACAGTTCAAGGTCCATCTTTGCGCGGGCTCCAAGCACGCTGGAAAACACTATAAAGGAGATTGGAGGTATTCCCTCCATCCTCGAAAGCTGATGCTTGAAACCTTCAAGTCTACACCGCTCGAACGCGGGCAACAACCCGTCCACTTGACTCACAGTTTCTTCAGCTTGCATTAGCCTATTGCATGTGGTTTCAAGCATTCTGCCGTGACATTGCACCTGCATCCTGTCCACGAGGGTACAGAGCCGTCGTTGTCGGCTGAGATGTACACACTGACGGAAGACAATACTAGCTTGAAAGCTTTGCTACCGCATCGAACCCATGAGGCACGAGAAACACAAACCGCATGCGGCCATCTTCCTCTCCTGAACGAATCCCAGGCCAGCCACCAAACCACACCCACCACATTGTAGGTCCCAAGCTGACAGCATTGCCTCCATCAGCAGGCACCAGGCAGCAGGACCGGGCCATCCAGAAAACATCCGGAAATTAGTTGTAATGAACTATATTAGCTAAATGTGGTACGGGGACTGAAAAGAAATCTTCAGCTGCATGGTCGTGCCACACACAGTTTAGGCGACATGTGAAACACCTTTCGGCCACATGTCTTCAACTGCATCCCGTGGGTCTAGCGAGGTCAGCAGTTGCGCAGGTACCTATCCTTGTACCAACGCGGGACCTCAATAAACGAAAAGCTTGCAATCTGAATGGTGCCCTGAGCGAAAATTGAAGCTGTGGGCTGGGTCCTGCTGTCCCCCTGAAGGACCAAAGTGCTTCGAAGAATTGAAAACTGTTGTAACTTTTTGTAGGCGGTAGATTGTACAGTGTGGAGGATCTCGGGCAAATTTCTGATGACGGACCGATTGTCGGGCTTAGGGCATTGTTGTGCTGGACTGCAATAGATGTGCAGATATCATACGAGTGCCACGTGTAGCCACTGAGCATCAACATGAAGCGTCAGCCAAGAAGGCGAAACCAGTAACCTGAACATGTTGGCTTCAAGCTTAGCAGTATCCAGGGAAGAGCAGCAAGATCACAAGAGACATCTGAGACAGATTGGAACGATCTTTGGAGCACGCAAGCTCCAAACAATGTAGATGCAATGCCTTGCAGCTGGCCCTTCAAGCCCATTGCTCTATGAAAATTCACACTAGAGCTTCGACATAACGATCTTGATTCAAAGGGCTTGTGAAGACGAGCTCGCACAGAGACGCTTGGTGACATGGGCCTGGGAGTCCAAAGCGTTTGCCCCTTGTAAGTATGTTGCCACTGAAAACATATTGGAGCAGGCCCCACACTTTGTTACTCTTGGGATCCCCAGGCACCATGAAGGGCGATGTCTGCAAATACTTTGGCGAGCAACATGGCCTAACCCCAAAACCCCTTGCCAAATCCCACTTGGACACCATCAAACTCAAAAAGTGCTCTTTTCAATCCGTGATATCCCTATCAGCGCTTCTTGCGCGTTGAGCTGGCATTCAAAGCGGTCGCAAGACACTGCCTCTTTTAACAAAGGCTTGGCGTGAAGAATCTTGAGGGCCAGACGAACAAGACTGGCTTGACCCAAGTATACGCTTTTGGCCTTTCCGCAAATATTCAGCACAAAGGGAAAATATGATCCACATTGTGTGGGAAAGGACAAATTTTATCGCCAATGATCAGGAATTCCACAAGCTCCTAACGATGAACCTTACTAAACGCTGTGTTGCTCTCAAACTTGAAAAAGCCAGCCAATCCAAAAATCTGATATCTCCATGCACGGGCACCTAGATTTAAAGAAGTCCAACACTCTTCGATGTGCTTGAGCGTGGTAGTGTTCGGAGTTGGCGATCGCCACAAAAAACTGTACTGCTCAAGTATACTTTCTCCATAACATGCCTCGTGATTATCCCCACAGCCACTGGGGCAACAGCGCCCGGTCTTGGCAAAATCCCAGCTGAATTTGCTAGACTGCTGTCTGGAATTTAGACGACAGTAAAGGTCTCCCACGTGGCGATGAAATCCAAGTTGAATCTAAGTGATATCAGCTTCGACTCTTTCAAGCATTTATAGTGTGGCTGCACTAGGCTAAATCTACAAGCAATTTCAGTGTTGATTCTATGTAACGTCACGGACATGCGATAAAGTGATGGAATCTTCTCACTTTGATTGTGTAGCTCGCTTGTATAGAAATCCTGGTTAGACTTTATTGATCTGTAATTACGCCAAAGAAAGCCAGATGTGCAAAACAAATCCGTTGTAGCCTAGTGCGATGAGATATGTACATGCCTATATGTCGACATATACTTGTTTACATGCCGTGGCCTGTGTTTAAGTAGCCATGCGCATATTATCTATTTAGTCTCCCGAAGATCCTGGCCTGCTTGCCTCTCTGTTCTCCAACACCTATGACCCTGAGCACTAGTTCCACAGCCAGTCGTCCTACAGCCTCAAGACTCAAAACTCGCTGGCACGGGAGGATGCTGTTTGGCAGCTCCTGGAAGACAGGAGTGGATTTGTGCATGCGTGTCTATGGAGCATGTTAGCTCGGGTCGCATGTAGTGCGTTAGAGCAGAAGCAGCAGCAGCGGCGGCGGCGGCAGCGGTTGCAACCAGGTTGAGCAGCTCAGAGGAATGGCGACTGATCAATTTCAGATATCAGACCAGTCAATCCCGAACTTGGAGCTCCTAAGATCAAGGGAATCCCCGACCCTACCTCTCTGAAGCGTGAAGGTCACAAGATCCGTCGTCAGAAGACAGCACTGGGCCAGTGCACCATGCAATGTCCGACTTTGTTGCCGGCTCTACAATTGACAAGTAACAACTTTGACGCTTGATAGATCAAAATCCGCAGATACTGTTGAGAGACCCACATTGTCTCTCCCTCTCGAAGCAGCTTAAAATCAACCAAGGCCCGTGCGCTCGGAAGATGCACCAGCTGAAAATCGCCTTCTCCTTTTGAGGCAAACGGGATGGTGCAAGACCAACTTGGGCTTCACACAATCACTGCAGCTTAATACAGATTCCGGGACGTGAAGCACGAGCTGCATGAGCCGTGTCTTCTGAGCGATCCAGACAACAACCAAAAATTGAAGTCCCAAAGCGAAGCCAGCAAAGCCTTGTGTAAAAAGTGTCTTTCCATGTCTCTCCGAAGAACGGCGTGATAAGGCCTTCCTCTCTTGAGACTGCCTTGGCAAGCCTCTCAAACAATTCCCAAGCGCGTGCCGGACTATGCAGGGCCCATCCACTCAATACTCACCGTGCCTCTTACTCATTGCGGCACGTGGGGTGTTCAAATGCAAAAGTGTATCCCAGCTCAGCAATGTTGTCCGAACTACAACTGGGCCCCCGGCGGATTCATTAAGTGACCACCATCTTTGAGTTGGATCGCCCCAACCGCACTGTAATGTCAACCTGAAAAGGCGGTGTTCAGGGCCCCGAATTCAGGCCACTGAGGAAAGGCAGGCCAAGAATCTTCCGGAGATATCTGGCTTTCAGGTGAGGAGGCAATTAGTAAAAGCACAACCTGCCGGGGCTATCACCAAGATCGTTCAGAACAAGCGTAACTTAAGCTTTGCAGTGTGAAGCCAGCCCCGCCACCTTTCTGATTGTGTTGCATCTCTAGGACCCCAGCAATATCAGGATCATCGCTTGTGAGGTCTGAGGACGGTCGCTGCACGGACCTGGCAAGCTGCTTCAGCACGCTGCGTTCCGTGCAGGCTTCTATGCAAGGTGAACTGCACAAAAGGAATACAACAAGCACATGAGAAGCAGGAAGCTTGCTTCATTGCGCAAAGCAGAGCTAGAAGCCATCTGGCGGAAGAAGTGGGACATGTTATGCACAATCAAACGCAACAAACCAAGTTTATTGCTGTAGAACGAAAGGCACTTGCAACATGGCACCGACAAAAGCATCGCTGAAAATTGACGATGATATAGACACCTGACAAGTCCGGAACGTTCCCCAGCTCTCATGCACTTTCAAACCAGGCCAGGAAAGCATGACGACCAGCTCACCTGGTCGCCTCCTTGAGGGAGGGGCGAAAGTCTAATAAATGTGATGACTAGCTGTTGCATGCGCCTACGTTGCTCAGAGGCAACTTCAACGTGAATTTTGGACTTTGGACTTTGCTTGTGCCATGTGCTGAATTAAGCCATGCCACTGGTCCAAGTACCGGAAGACATCGCTGGAGCTCGAGATCTGGCGTCCGCCCATCTTCACGATGACCTGGGGCTCTCTCTAATGTAGGGCTGACACCAGCGAGCCGGCTGTACGCGCAAGTTGCCTTGACCACAATATGCCAAACCGGAGGTTTGCAGTGGGGCTGCACGTGAAAGCATTGTCTGTTAGCTCAACAATCCAACAGCCTCCGAAAAATCTCGCTTGCAAAGCCCTTTTCTGTAGACTCCGTAGGAAATGACCAGACATACTCTCCTTTGGTTTGCTGCACCACTGAAACGCAGCCCATTGCGAGAAAAAGATGGGAACTAAGGTTTTGCCAATATTGCTGTGTAATCCGCCAAAGCCGGAGGCCTGGGGAATTTGATCTAAAGACCAGTGCTCAGGGATGTGTTCCTTGTTGCCTGCCTAGAGAGAACGTGGGGGGCAGCTCCGGCAACGTGCGCAAGAGCAATGTGGCTGGCTGTTGCCGTCTCAACTTTCGAGATTTAGGGCTGATTGATTTGGTGGCAGGGTTTAGGGTTGCAGGGTTCAAGGTTTACTGCTTTAGTTATACGGTGCTCTTCCGCCCCAATCCATCCTGCGCACTCTGGCAGCCACCCTCACGTCTGCCCTGCTCTGGCTTCATCTCACGCAGAACGGAGTGCAGGCAGCTCTCGCAACAGTGGTCCAGTCAGCTCACCACTGCCTGTCGCCGCGCCTGTCCTAATGAAAGTTCTGTAACGAACGCCGCACAGGTCTGTTATCAATCTAAACGCACATCGTATCATGAAGCATCATGAAGACACACGGCAGCTTTGGCACCTGCACACTGAGTCCTGCGTGATGTCGGACTAGCAGCTACTAGCAGACTGGTCACCTTTCGATGGCTGTCCGATGCTCCCGATCCACGTACAACGGAGGCAACACATCGAAAAGCGGCGCACATGGCCCCGCCATGTCTGGCAATGCTGCAGCATGCGTCTCAAGCACTCCTGGCGCAATCCTGCAATTCGATCTGGATCAAGAGCTTCAAGAAACCAAGCAAGTGCACGCGGGATTCAAAGCACAGAGCTATCCAGGAGCTTGGCACAATATGTGAGCTCTCATTCATGTCACTTGGGACTGTGTCGGCGTATTTCTCTTCAGGCCTTGCAATCCTTGACTCAACTCAGACTCTCCTCGCACCGTGCAGGACCTGCGAAATTTCGCCAGCGCACTCCCTTCACAGCTGTTCCAAAACCTGTTGCCGAAGTTGCCAGCATGCGTGTCACCTGCAATTATGTGAACGTATCTCAGGGACGACGTGACATGTGCGCAAGCCTGGAAAATTCATCACCGCAATACGCTGAGGCATACTGAGGACAGTTGGGTCACTAACCGTTCTTGATTTGGGCTCTTCGCCCCCTTACTGGACCAAGCTGTTTACAGGATATGCTGGTTCCCAAGCTCGGCCCAGAAAGATGGGAACATGAACCGCCCCAGAAAACAGCTCTGCATCAGTTCCCATTCTTTGCCCAGACGACACACATGACGTCACGTGCCTCATCATTTGCCTTTCTGCCCCGCCTGCACGAGCCTGTCATTCTGATCCATCTATGCTGCAGGCGACCTCTGTTGAATCGGTTGATAGTGATCGATTCTGGTGACTGACTGGTGACTGATGCTTGCTCCCGCGCAAAACCTCCGGAGAAATATACGACCCAAGAATTTCAATGACATCGGAATGCTTTACCAGTTTTTCTCCGTATTCTGCTGATGTATCCCTGACAGTTTGATTATGTTTGATTCGCTTATGCTCTGTCACTGGGCATTGGTGCCTTTCCAAGAATACATCTAAATCTATTGATCTGGAAGGCATCCGAATTGGCTTCAGGTCTTCCGCTGCATTGACCACGTTATCTGTCAGAAGGAATGCCACGAAATATCGCAGAGGTTGTCCTGTCCTGAAGTCCTGTCCTGAAACTCAAGAGGACGCGTGCTTCTGCTGGGGTCAGGTTCTTGCTTCGCCGTTCAGCGTACTTTCAATACTTGCACATGAGAAGGCACAGGGACCGCCACGGGCTGGAAAACACATTTGCGCAAGCCCCAAATCCGGTCAGAACAAGCCCCTTCAAGCGCTGGCACGCTTGGTTGCAAGAAATGTGGACGTTTTCTGCCCGAGGCCTGCCATCCTGAAAAGTCCTTCTGCCCGATCAGGCACGCACATCGCAGATTTCCGTGTGCAAGGAAAGAGGATCAGATCTTGCAGCTCCTCAGAAGTCCAGCTCTACTGAAGAAAGGGGGATTGCGATACCTTGCCATGACCTGAGATACCTGAGGGCATCGCGTCGCCCAGCTGACCACTCCGCAAAGCCCTGCAAACATCAGGTAATGCTGAATCTCGGTCAGTGTTGGGGTCCTCGATTAGGTCAATCGAAAAAAAGTCAGTACCCCGTGTTCGTTTTGGGTGGCCCATGAAACAATGGGTTTTTGCCCAGGGTTTTTGGATCTGACGTCATGAAATGCAGAGCAGTCTTTAAATGCATATATACGTATATATATATATATGTATTGGAGATGCTCCGAGCCAAAGGCTTGTGAGAGATAGGAACTCGAGGATACCTCTTGCTTGGTAGTGTCAATAGGAACACACGGCCCACCAAACCTACCAAACTGTTTTGGTGTTCTTCGCTCTGCAGGCGCACCTTTTTGGTTTGGATGCAATAGTGGGTCAGTCAGACAGACTTTGTTCAAATCCTGAAGGACTACACAACAAAAGGTCTGAAGCAACTGTTGCAGGCTAATTACTCACCCCGAACATCTCTGGCTGTGCCGGCAGTGCCTCATGCCAGCCCGCTGCGCTGGCCCACCTGGCACCACCTGCAGGCACATGCCGCCTGCAACGTGTACCGTACAGGTCTGCCACGCGAAAATCTAAACATTGCCTCAAGCAGACAAGCCCTGAGCCTTGATTTACTAAGCATCTTGCTGAAGCACCCACGTTGAAAGTCCAACGCACGCAGAGCACACATGGCATGCGCCTTCATGATCATAGCGCCGGGAACTCCCAACGATTCGGAAACCTTCCGCTCGGTGGCCCAGCTTGAATCCATCTTCACGACAGAAACAGTCAACCCTCGCTGAACACTCACACGCACGGGCTTCTTGGAAAAGGTCAAGATTACCCTTAGACTTCTCACAGACACCAGCCAAAGTGCAGTGTTGCATTGGTGTCTCTTTGGATACAAGCTTGAGCGGTTTCCGCCTCATCGGGAGCGAGCTCGACGCCAATGCTAGGTCTGGTCACGTAGCCTGGAATGCAGGTGGCTGGGTTCTACTTGTAGCCACACCAATTCTACTTGTCAATGCAGGACAGCGGTCTCCTTCTAAATAAAACGACAAGCAAACTCCCGCCTTCCTCGATCATGGATTCCACGTTCTTCTGCACGGTATCAATGGGCAGCGCGAAGCCCACGCCAGAAAACGTGCCTGAGTGCTTCCACGACGAATTGAATCTGTGCATAGGGGCTTCATCCGGGAAACATAGAGATGCGCTTTGCGTGCGGTGTGCTATTAGAGCTGTAGATATTGCTGCAGGGTACTTAGATTCGAATGTACACACAAGTCTCAACCAGCTCTTGCAATCCTACATGAGGTGCGAGTATTTAGACCTTGGCGCAACTACATGCTCCTTGCTGCCCAGTCGAAGCCATCAAAGCCTTCAAACCTCAAGAGCCTGACAACATCCCCTGACATCCCCTGCATACCCCCCAGAATTTCCAGGGGTGACAGTCCAATCATGGCAGCATACCGCTGGTGGACAGGATCGCAGTGTTCACGCCAACCACAGCCCCTGACATGTCTGCAGCATTGTGGTAGCCAACTGCGCATAATCAACAAAAGATGTGCTGAGCTGAGCACATCATGTTCTTGCAGGTTGCCACAGTTGATGCATAGAGGCAAGCGGTGGCGCAAATAGAAGATCTTAGTGACACTAGTAGATGGGGCAGTGAGCATTCTGTCACCATCTGCATTGTGAGGTGGGTTCCGCAAGAATGCAACCACCTCCAAACACAACAAACAGTAATAAAGCAGAAAAGCAAAATACAAAAAAGACAGGACAATTATAAGATCAAAACAAAGAAGAGAACGATATAGAGAAAAAAAGAAGACGGGAAAATCAAATATGTAGATCAACGTGGCAGAAAATACACACAACAATTGGAAAACCCGAACGATACAATACTTCAAAAAGATAACCATGCACGAAGATCAGAAAATTGAAAACAGAAAAGACCTCAAATTAGAAATCAAATGGACGCCAAACCCGGAAGAAGTCAAAAAATAGAAAGCAGACACCGAAATTGCGGAGAAAAAAAACATGAAAAATTTGCAACCACCATAGGGCATAACAAACATGAAAATTGAAAAACCAGAACACCAAACAAAAATGAAGATTAAAATGGATAAGTAAACAAAACGCATATGATAGAAAATAACGTGAAACCGGAAAAGAAGAAACATGGATATCAAAATGGGACGCAAATCCAGTATGCTGGATCTTCTTTTGGTTTCTATGGTATTCCTATGTTTTGGTATTTTGGGGGTGCAGTCTAGCTTGACCTAGTCCTATATTTGTAGGAACTCACATAGTTGCACAATTTCCCGTGACATGACGTGTCCGGGCCTTCACTGTTCAGGAGAGGCCCTCCGCTGTTTCCAGGGTTGATGGAAGCGTCCGTCTGGATGATGCCTGGGCGCATGGCGAATCGAGCTTGTGGCTAGTGTATGCTTTGCTCCCGAGCGTATGCTGCTCTAAACATGAAGACTACGTGGATCAAGCTATGTGAGAGCCGCCTTGAAGATTCTCCCAATGGACAGACATTGTGGCCGTTTCTACCACATGGCCGAGAAGGTCCAACCATCAAAGCTAGCGATGATTGCTCCTCAATTTGCCGAGATGCCGCTCATGGGCCAACCAGCCGCCCCCTGTCAACTGCGAGTAGCGCACAAACTGGCACAACGTGCAACAAAGGATCCGGCCTCCATGCTCCTGGAGACGCCGCTAATGACACCCTTGCCTGAGCGCTCAATGCGCTCACATGGAACAGTAGATGCTGCCACTGCACCCTTGCAGCCCACTGCCAAAGTTCTTTTTTGTCAACTGGCCAAATGCTGGGAGCTTCTGCCAAGGATTTGCCGAAAGATGACAAAAATATAGCCAAGACGCTCATGCTATGCTCAAGGCCAAACGGATTCCCAAGAGCAAAAACCTGCCAGGGTCAGTCTTTTTCATTCTCAGAACATTAAAAACTCAAAATTTCTGTTTTAATCCGAAGGAGTAAGTTATAGGCTCGCCTCCTGGCCCGGCTTCAGGTCCGCGGAAGCTCCGCGGCTGAGCGGCTGCATCAGCGAAACCACATCCGCCTGGCAAAGGACTTTTTACCCTCTTTGAAGTGGTGATCTTTAGCTCATCGGATCAGGATGTCGATGTGTGAAGATTTGGGAGCTTGAACATGATTGATGCCGAAGCTGTCATATTGGTGATTGAATTGAATTATGGTCGAGATGTACAGCACTAAGCAGGGGTGTGGAAAAATTGGAGGGGAAAAATTGGCTAGGTTGTGAGAAGGTTTGGAATAGGGAACTCAAGAGGCTGGGTGGTGTGGAGACATGTTGGGCATGGATTTGGCTGGATCCGCAAGGGATTGGGTACGTAAGGATGAGAATGTGTAAAATTTGCACCAATTTTGGGTTGGAGTTTAAAAATAGATAGAAATCCGAGAAAGTGATCAAGGACGTGAATTAAGCAGGCAGAAGGTTGGTCACGTCAAAGCATGACCGAAAGCGGTGAAACATCTTCAGCTCCGGCAATTCTATGTTAAGTGGCGCGAACTTCAAAATCACCAACAAAAAGACCTGCCGAGAATGTCAAGCTTGTTGCCCAGCCCCAAACTGGCAGTAGCAATCGCCGAGAAAACATTGAAGCCTGAGTCCACGCAAAAATGATCGAGAATTGTAACCTACCTCGAACCACATTATTGGACACGTAACTGCCACAGGACACGATGTGACCACCAGAGGGCATGGCATCCTGCATGGAAAACTCCCTGACCACTTGCTGCTAACCTGGAAATGTGGCCACGAGGGGCAGGTGGGTGATCAAGAACAGGTGTGGTTCAAAGGTCAACCGGTCCAACGTAGTGACAGGGGGGCTCGGGCTCACCCGCACCTCTGACGCGTGAGAACGCAAGAACCAAGCCGGGCCAAAGAGCTTGTGCCGGGGCCAAGTTCCGGACCCTCAAACTCACAGACGCAGCCGACAGCGCCTCCACCACCTTAAGATGGATCGGACGTGCAACAAACATGAGCGAACCACTCACAGCCTGAAACTTCCATTGGTACGCTGCTGTGCTTATCCGTAGTTCTCGCAACGCCCTCATGCGAAGCCACGCACGGGCACTTGACATGGCACACTGGGCGGTTCATCTTTGACCACGTGCATTTGATGCGCTTGCAAGGCTATGAGCAGCTGTCCAGCTGCAGGAACTCGAAGCAGCTGCCTTCGGACTACAAGGGTGCAGCTGACCTCCCTGTCTTTGAACGTGCGGTTCAGGATTTGGTAAAACTGAAAGATTTGGTTGTGCATGTGAGAACAGATCTGAGAAAAGAATAAAGAGAGTTGAGTAAATTTGTTCGCAAGCATGAAGATGTGAGAAATGTAGTCACATACTTGAGAGACTTGGTAGGGATCCCAGAAAATTCAGGGTAGGGACTTCAAGACCGATTCTGGAAGGGCATTACAAAAAAAATGCCATGGGTTTATAAAATCCCTATAGCACATGGACACATGCAATGAAAGGAGACGAAGCTTTCTCACAGAGCAACTCTACTCCCAGTCGCATGCAAAACTGCCAAGCAAACAGGGCAGGTGACATTCTCGTCACTTTTCACCTGGAGGATTGCAATATCGGACAGCGGGTCTGCCCCGACCACATAAGCACCTTGGAGGGCTGTGAGAATGTGCTTTGGGTCTGGAAGCGGAACTTAGAGGAATCGTTACGTGAACATGCTTACCGGCTGCAGACTTCGAAGGGCATTGGCACTTGGCAATAAGGCATGTCGGCAACCGTGGTAGCGCAACTCGCACTGTCTAATTAGCATGACAAAGTCATACAGTCATGAACAAGATGCTGCATGCTAAATCGGCAGTGGGCTGCTGCCAATATGCGACTTGGAAGCCCCCGAGGCCGCTTGGTCTCCAAAAGGCTTTGACCCTGCAACCTCTCACATCACCTCTCAACACTTGGATACATACATGTCCGTACATAGCCAGGGAGCGACACCTTCAATTCCTGCGGAGATATACATTCAAACTTGCAGCTCTGGAAGCCATGGAACTTTCCTTGTCTGCCATGAAATCGGCTTCGGGCGTGAAACGTGCGGGAGTGATGTGCGCGCAAGATCTAGCGCAACATCAACCAGCATCACCTATGTACAGTGTTAGCCGATGTTTGGCAGCCTGTCCAACTCTCATCATCTTGCCATAAATGCCCTTGAATGCCCGAAACAGGGCTGATGACTCCAAGACGATGGTCCAAGTCCAACTCTGCACTGCTGATTTCGATTCACGCGAGTTCAGCCGTGGTGAATCTTGAGTTTAAACGCTCCTCAACGAGCCATGCAGCTCAGGTCGGAAACGCTGGGCTTCCTGCTCAGGAAGATGCATGTCTGGAGCTGAGCGCATTCTGAGGACGTAGTAAGTCCATGCGCACATCAGAAAGCTTCAGAACTTCAGGGCTGAGGACTAGGCACAAGTTACCAGTGCGCACCTGGGCAGCGGCGGTTCCGGGGAGCTGTAAGGATTGGCTGCCTCGTTCACCTGTCCAGAGTCCCATCCCCAAAGGCCGCAAGTTCAGTAACCCAGTAACCGGCCTCAGTTTGGTTGTCGAACTGGTAAAGCATCAGGAGGCCAGCCCAGGCAGTCGCAGCAACATGAGGGTACCGGTAGTAGGTCCAGCCGATACCTCTCTCGTTTTGGTTTTGGTTGAAGCTCCTTGGACGGAGAGTTCATGGGATACAAAGCTGTCAAAGATAGCAATGCTAGCACACACGCCGCTTACAAAACGGACAAAACATTTGCGAAGACTTTGTAGAACCTTTCTGTATGAACAAGAACGAAGGACGGTAGAGGTATGAAATGAAGGGCTGCAACAATAGCAAGGACGCATCTATGCCACCAACCCACGGATGGCCGGGAATGAGTTTCAGCTGTGCTGGTCTCCTAGAAGTTGCAGCAAGATGCAAATGCCCACACACAGCCAGCATCAGCATCCAGGGAATGTGTGGCTTTTATTCCTCTGCTCCTCCATGTCGACAACAGATTATGGCTCAAAATGGCTCAAAAAAATTGCAGCAAGGCTGATTGAAAACGGAATCCTCGGTGGTGCTGCCCTCTATCACTTCTCCATTGGGCAATGTAGTCTGAGAATGAGAAGCAGTACGATTAGTCTTCCACAAGGCAACTCTCCCTTCCTCGCAATAGATTTTTCATGGTCTTCCGCAGCGCTGCCTGTGTCAGAGCCACCGGGAAACTTTCGGTGATGTTCATTCTTCTTCCACGCCTGTCTTGGCAGATGCGAAACCAGTCCTGACCTTGCAATTTGTGCTTGGCCTGGATGTTGCCGCCCAGCACTGAAGCGGGGACGCTGCCATACCTCGCTGTCGTGTCCAAAAACCTATGTTGAGGTCGTTATATGCTTGGGGCCTAGCCTCACTCACTTTCCGATGGAGGCAGAATTAATTTGGTATGTTTTTTCGCTGTTGTTTTTGGGGTGTCCTGGGCATGATGTAGACCACAATGTGAGGACGCTCCATGCGGTAGCTCATTTTCGAATCGAAATTTGAGGATGCTCTACACGGGAGCCCAATTTGGTGTCAAAATGTGAAGAAGCTCCACGCAAAAGCTCAATCTGTGAGGAGGCCGCTCCATAAATAGAACTTGAAACAGCAACAGAAACAAAAATTAAAGTGATCATAAGCGTTGTTATACACATGAGAAGAAATACTACCAATAATGATGATAATGAATATAAGCAACAAACGACTACTAGTCATGGTATTAACAATTCCAATAACGAGATAGCCTGCGTAATTAGAATGGTCGACTGATAGTACGAATAATAAGAACGGGAACAGCAAAGGATGATTGTACTAGCTAGCAAGAAAAATGCTGATCGTTAACAACTAGATTACAGCTCCTTGTTGAATTCATTGTTGTGGTTGACATTATCTATTTTCACAGTCATCAGTAATATTGTTGCTAGCCGTGCTCTCCCACCCCTATGTACCTACCTTTTTTGTGATATTCCTCTACACTTGTTTGTGCTCTTCTTCGAATTTCCAGAATCGTATATGTATAATACTCCCATAGTACTGTAAACATTGACTGATATTGATAAACCATGAAACACCATGCCCTGACCATGAAAATCTTACAACAACCAAGAAAACACACAAAAAGCATGAGTTTCAAACATTGGGAAAATTAAACATGCATTGGCTTTCTTGATTTTTGCATTGGTGTGAAGCTCCTGACCATGAAAAGCATTATAAAATCTGAAAAACCATGAATTTTCAAGTTCCTCAAACAGATAAGAAATCATGTTTTTTGGTTTTTCGTGTTTTTCCACCAGCTCCTGACCATCAAAAAACATTGTAAGAGGCAAGAAAACCATGAATTTACTTGTTTATTGCTCTTCCAAGTTCTGGTGGTGGTCAGGACATGTATTTTTCAATGTTTCATGTGTTTGCTCCCTCCTGACCAGGAAACCACTATAACCACCAAGAAAAGCGATGCACTTTCCACTTCCTGATGAATCTGAAAATACTTCTTTGCTTTTTATCTGCGATCCTTTGAAAACCCTTTTTGCGAGAAAAAAAGAAAAAAGAAAACTAAGAAATACTAAAAACAAATCCATTCTTCGTGAATCGCTTTTAAAAATGCCTGCGCGGTCATTCTATACACACGTGTTTGTTTAACTGTAGGAGGCAAAAGATGTACTTCTTGGAATTCCAATGAAGGATTCCTTTTGATTATAACAGAAAACGTGTCAAGAACAAACGAACCAGTAACGCAATAAACTCTACAACATCGTTTTTGGTTTGTTGTCATCACGACAACTAGTTGCAACTCGGGCGTCTTAAAAAGAAATCTTCCCCATTTAGAAGAGTCTTTCAGGATTTAGGTCTTCGGATGTGTTCTGTGTTCTGTCGCACATGTTGCTATTTGTGGAAATCATCCCAAAATGTTGGCGCCCCGCCAAAAAAACATGCTTGAACTACTAGCCTGGTCTGGCAGCGGCTTGCTCCTAGCAACACATCAGGGGTAACTATACACTGAGCTGGAAAGCACGGCAACCATGTTCCACACTGCTTTGGAGTAATAGATCTTGTTGCATTTCAGCCAACATGTACTGGTAAGGAAGCATCTGCCAGCCCCCAAGTGTTGTAATGAGATATCAGGTGCTCCATGTATTCATAGCGATATAAAAAAAACAGCTGATTGATAAGCGATAGGAAAATCTTGCTTGTCATCGCACAAGTGTATACACTGCCCGGCTCGGAATGAATAGTCTTAGCAAAAGCGACGGTTGTTCTGACAGCCAACTGGACGTTTGGGGTCCAAAAGACATGAGATGCCTGAGCATTCCTGCGTTTGACATCATAGAAAACAAGAAAACTGAAAATTCCTCCCCAACAAAACAACAACACACAAAACCTTGCTGCATTGATTTTATTGAAGAGTACACAAAGTGGAAGCCCCAAGTGTTTCAACAAAGTATGGGCAGTCCGTGTAACCATAGCAATATGAAACAATCACCTTCTCGATCAACATGAACGACATCTATGTTGTCATGGCAAGAAGGTTTACACTGCCCTTCTTGGTATAGAAAGACATAAAAACTACTGAGTATTCCTGACGACAAAACATAACAACTATTTGTATTTTGGGGAGGAGCCTACAAAGTGGTCTAGATTGTTCTCATGGAACAATAGTTATCCTGGTTGACTTGAGATAGCAGTTTTATGGTTTTTGTTCAGACAAATCAGCAATTCGTTATCAAATATCATGGGCAAATCAAATCTGAAAGTTTACTGACAAGCAAGACAAGTCCCCTGTGCTTTTTGATATGAGCCATTCCACTTGCGTAACAAAACATACCTGAAATGTGATGAATACGCAGACAACCCCAAACCTATTCCAATGCTTGCAACTATTACAGAATAATGGGAAGTGTCTTGCCGGCACGCAGTTGTTCGAGGACAAAAACGGCACTGCTAAGAAGAGACCCTTTTCTATCCTCTCAAAAACAAAACCGTTTCCCAAAGACAAGAGTTCTTGAACCATGCACGTTTGGGCTGTCACAGGCGAGCAGTGATGGCGGAGAAGAAGCAGCACTTGAAAGCACCAGGAAGAATGGCAGGAATAAAAGTTCAATAGTAACCATGGAAAGAATACCAGCAAAAAGTATCTGCAGTAGAAAAAGCTTTATCTTAACAAAAGTTACATTCATAGCAATAGTACGACTAGAAATGTAATAGCCGCTTCCTTTACAATAAAAAAAAGTAACAATGATCTTTCTGGGTATAGTAAAGAGATCGTGGAGATAACCGCAAAAGAAATAATGGAAAGTCACGCTAGTAGCAGACCTTGAACAAAAAGAACAGCTATAGCAATAGCAGTTGAAGTGATGACAAAAGTAAGCATACCAACAGTCGCAAAGCATGAATGATGACGAGGGCAAGTAGGTTTTGACTGGGTTTGTGATACTGGTTGGCCAAGTACTGCATCTGTTTCATAAACAAGCAGGTCAGGGGAGGGGGCGGGGGGTTGGGAAGGGGGGGGCCACTTGCACAACATGGACGAAAATGCGAACATGTAATTGATTGCCAATCTTGTCTTGCTTTGCATTGTATTGATGTTTCTTGTAAGTACAAAGAT